ATCACATCTAGGTCTCTTTACCGTCGTGCTCAAATAATCGGCCACAGTCACAGGTTCCGTATATCGTGGCTGATCTCTTCTGTTGCTGTCTTCAATCGAACTGTTCTGACTCGTCCATCTGGACCCTAATTGACCTGTCTAACTATAACTTTCGGCCACGGGTTTCTCGGTGTGCTATTATTGTGTACTAACACTAAGTCTCCCGTTTGTAGATTCCTTCCTATTCACTTTATGATGCGTTCCCATATTCCGCCTCCAGGATCAAAGATCGATGCTACGTACGATAAAATATTTCTTCTGGTTAGGTTTCTATGAAGTTTACCAACTTTGAGACGTAATTTGTCCGTTCGGGCATTCCATTCTATCCCCAACGTTCGTTTACTCATCTCATTGGACTTGCAGACGGTAATGTTTCCTTCAGTACGATCTTCCTCTGGTATGAATTCCAACACTTCAACACTACTACTAGTCCAATTAGTTGAATTAAATCCTCCCAAACTTAAGAGTCTTTTGAAATGTGAATAGGTCGGTTAGGCTTCTATAGCATCCACACTTATCAATAAATTTTCCACATAGAACTGTTCCTTAGCTGCTTGCGTAACATCCTGGGAAATTTATCTTGATTATCAGAAATCGTTTTCTGCTAGGCAAACGTGGCGCAACATGTTAATGATGTTGCTCCAAACGGGTGGTCTTTCATTCTATAGACATCTGGCTCGTTTTCTAAATTTCCACCTGGCCACCACAAATACCTAAGAACATCTCGATCATGCATCGGAACCGTTACTTGTTTGAACATGGCTTCAACGTCTGCCGTAAGACCTATTGGTCGTTGCCGAAACCCGGTGAAAACGTCTACTAAGTTACTGACTAAATTTGGCCTACAATAAAGATTCTTTTTTAAAGAAATCCCAGCATACTGAGCTGTACAATCGAACACTTCTTAACTTGTTAGGCCTCTTGGGATAGAAGACAGGGTGGTGAGAAAGGTACCAGACTCGTCCATTAGAGTTTTTATCGTTTACCTTTTAGGCGTAATCTCGTTCTATATATCGTACTTGCATATGATATCTGTGATAATTAGAAGTATGTGAATCAAGAACTAAAGATATGCACAAACGAATGTATTGTATTTAGAATTCGAAATCAAGCATTCAACAACAACAAGAAGTTACTAGTTCATTCAAACACCACATCCGCCACAGCTTAAATTGGAATCCAAGTGTCTGTAATCAATTGTACGTCTTCTTCTCAAATTCATCCTGTGTCTGTCCGACAGTGTATTGGATAAAGGCTCTGTATTATCTAGAATGCTCTCATTAGTATTAGAATTAACAACGGAAATTGGAACAGACTCACCTGGTTCTTGAAATTGTATTTGATCAACATGTCGATTATGTGTACTTAAGTCATTGATATCTAGAAGTCGCACCATAGATTTCCCGACATTCTTCAGAACGATCCCCGTGGATGGTCGAAGATCATTGCCACGATAATATGTAACTTCTGCAGACTCCAAACATCTCATATTCGACCGAAGAATTCTTCCTTTTAATAGTTTTGATGGAGTCTCCTTCGTCACTGAATGTCTGGCATTTCTATATTGCAGTAGAAAGGTATCTACTCCCCTCTCCAGCTCATTAAATGTTGAGGCGGCAATAGAATCACTCCACTTCGAATGCTGATTTTTCAGCTTGTGACACTTTTCGCAATTCTTTGCTGTACGACAAATATCTGCATTTATCTCTGGCCACCAACGTATGAGCCTCGCCAAGGACTTCATTTTCTCAACACCTGAATGTCCACTATGAAGATCTTCCAGGACAACTTTACGCAATGAAGGAGGAATAACAACCCGATCATGTAAACACAAAATACCATCATGAGTAGTGGATAGCTCATCCCGCTTTGAAAAATAGATAGGGAATCTGCGTTTCAGATTAGCATTCCAACCTTTCCGTATAGCATTAATTATACATCCAAAGTTTCTACGAGTTTCTCTAATGAGATCTGGACGTTTCACTCGTAAAGGTTGCACCAACAAACAGTCTGAAGTATTAACAGGTTTATCTTGTAATGACTGTCGAGAAATGTAGTTAACATGTTGAATTTGTTTGGCACTCCTGTGCTGAACCGTTTTTATACTTCCATTGCACTTAGCACACGTGGCTGTCAAATCTTTAGGTAAAGCATCAGAATTTTCTTTAGAAACTAGGAAAGACAACTCCACTTGAAGTCTTCTCAAATTCTTTAAACCCAGTATTGACAGTCCTGTTTCACTAATTAAAAATTCACAAGGTATGTATGAGGAATTATCATCTCTTATTAGCAATTCACAACATCCTCGTATATGCAGTCTGTGTCCAGTAATCCCCAATATTGATACATCAGTGGGTCGTATCACAACGTTCGGATCTAACGATTTCAAGTTCTTGAATGAAATAATGGACTCTATACTGCCTGTGTCCACAATAAAGTCATGACATGAACCAAGCGATGTATATAGTCGCTTTTGAATATGAGCATTACCTTTCGAAATGGTAGTTAAAGATAAATGATCATTAGGATCAGCTGAATTATTGGAATCTAAATTACAATCTTTAGTACTACTTGAGGCAAAATGAACAGTAGCTTTGCATACTAGTTGAATGTGTCCTATCTTACCACATCTAAAACATTTAGCATTACGAAATGTACAAGAATGACGAGAATGAAGTTTTCCACATGATAAACATTTGCCAAACTTGGTCTCACCTTTGTGATTTCCTTTGTAATTCTTTTTTGAGACACCGTTCATATTTACACGAGAATCGGAACCTCTGTTAAACGAACACGATTTTGATTGACCCTGAGATTATTTTTCATCATGACAACTAATCAAAGTATTGGAAATCTTCATCGACTGAATATCAAATTCATTCAACGCCTCGTAGTTAATGCACGCAGTTCTAACGTCTTGAAAGGAACAGTTTGACATTCTTAACAGCTCTCTTTCCAAACTAGGTATGTTAATTCCTGCAATTAATCGGTCTCTCAGCTGCACATGAAGTTGATCACCGAAATTACATTTGACAGCCTGTTTCTGCAATTCAAGAATGAATTCCTTAACATTTTGGTCATTTTGACGAATCATCTTATGAAATTTCGCTCTTTCACGGCATTCAAAACCAAGGCACTTTACATGATTCAATAATAACTCCTTTAGCATTGCATAGGGAAGTGAAATAGGTTTTTCTGGATATGCCAAGGTTTTTAATAAGCTGTACGCTTCTTTTCCGATGAATGTTAGGAAATGAGCCACAATTTTATCATCTTTGACATCTTTCCTGGTCATACTCCAGATTTCAAACCTTTCCAAATAATCTTCAAAAGCTTCAGAAGTAGAATGAATATCTAGCTGTTCCATTACAAGCTCCATCGCGACGCCAGTGTGATAATTAGAAGTATGTGAATCAAGAACTAAAGATATGCACAAACGAATGTATTGTATTTAGAATTCGAAATCAAGCATTCAACAACAACAAGAAGTTACTAGTTCATTCAAACACCACAATATCCTTGCTGTATTGTAATTTGCACTAATTTTCCCCTTAAAAGAGCCAACATCCCTTTTGTCACTATCATTACCGTGGTTGACTAGTAGACCGTATCTAGTATTAGCTATATCTGACTGTTCCTTTACAAATTCGCAGAGGTCGTTAAATAAAGGCTCTCTAACCGTCTTGAGAATTCAACATGCTACTTTAACCCATTCCCTCTGTATGTATGGTGGGAGTTTTAAAAACATACATTCGATAATTTTTGTGGAATTAAGATCAGACTGATAGTTCATTTGTGTAAGCGTTAGCTCACAAACATGCATCTTACGAGCCAGTCTTCTTAAATTATCTAGGTCAGTCCCCTTAATAGCAGGGATATTCAGTATCTTATCAATAAAAGCATGAGCTACTATGTGCTTCTGACCGAGTGCTTCCTCAAGAAGCTCTAACGCTTTACGATAGTCTTCTAATTCGAGCAATTCACAATGAGCAATAGTAGCCTTAGCTTCACCATCACAATACTGAATCAAATAGTTTAACTTGGATCGAAATCCAACACTTTCATCAAAACAGTCTTCGAAGTTCTATATGAAACTCCAATAGTTCGTGGGATTACTGTCAAGCCCTATGATCTCTCTCTTTGGTAGGTCTAAAGCTTTAGATATCACTGTTATCCAGTCCTTTCCATGATTAATATCAGCTGTACGTAAACCAGATGTAGACTCATACGACATAACCTTGTCAGCCACAATTTGATTACAATGTTCTATTCCCTTTTGACGTAACTGTTCTAACTCAATTTCTCCTTTTGTCTGAGCCAAACGTACCTTAGCTAATTCTAACTTCAACAAGGGATCCATTCGGAAGCTATTTCTTCGAAACTGGTCATCACAATGAGTTTCTGAATAGTGGGGAGACAATTCAAGAATCTGATCAGTTTTATGATTCTCCGTAGACATTTAGAAGTACTTAGTGTGTGAATTTCTGATGAGTTATTGGTTGAAACATTGTAGAATTTAATTTGTCCTACAGTTATACTACTACTAGAACCGTAAACGCGATACTGGCTAGCACATCATAGTCTATGTGAAAGCCATAGTCAGATCAAGGACAACTTGGCTTTAAACTTCATTTGTTTCTAGACTTAAAGATAATTAGATTAATTACAACAATTAAGGAAACTACAGCTATTAAGGTAAACGAATAAACAGTAACAAATATTGCATGTCTTATCGAAACAGATAAAATTATGAGTCACATTAGTACGATTAGATAATAATGTCTTTCGATTGGTAGGTCACATGCAACAGACACATAGTTTACAGACACATCATACCAGATGACGTGTTGATCGCTTAAACTACGACTTGATTGGTTAGTTATGTGGACATTACCAACACTTAACTCGATGATTAATCGTAGCGGAATTCACTGCTAGTTTAACCTCCATTTTGTTTTTAGGCCAGCTGCCGTCGTGTTGCAAACCATTGTTCAAATCTTCTTGATGCTGTACTTATCTTCAAAACATGGTTCATCCAAAGGCAAAGTGACATTTCACATTCAACTTCTGAGTTAGATGTTAAATCTAATGGTGAATGTAGTATTCTACCCTATAATAATAATAATAACACTATAATGAATGGTCAACAACCAATGTTACACAATCAAATAAATCAACACTCAGCTAATATTGAACGTGATTGGGCAATAATGCATGCTAAAAGAGCTGAGAGTCAGTTAATTCGTCTACGAAACTCCGTTGTGGGTATGCGTGCTCAACTTCAAGCTGGACTTCGTCATAAACTTGAATGTGAACAGTTGCGAAAGGATTTGGAAATGCATAAAGTATGTTGTCCATTATAATGTAAAAAAAAGATGACTACATTTTACTTATCCAGTTTCCATAACTATCAGATTTTGTTTTGAATATGTATTTTTCTCAGTGTGAGTTTATATTCTGATTGTTAGGATATGGTAATTCTAAACTTTATTCTTGTGTCAATAAGACCACTATTTTGCTGATTTTGTAATTTTACTCAATTAGTCGATTTTATATAGTCAGGTTTTATTATGATAGTTATTAAGCCGATGGTAATGTAAAACCATAATCGGCTGTTACTTGAGTAGAAGCTAGTACAGTTAGCCAGTCAGTTATAACGTAGAACTTCGTACATGAGTACATAAGTTCCGATTGCGTTATTTCTTAGTTGAGGAAGTTTAGTCAGTTATCACATAGTCAAGAATTGGAAACAACATTTAGACCAATGATGGTTTTAATTTATTTTTCATACGTACTCTCAACATTAATTAACACTTTTCCACCCACTCCCTATTCCATTCAAATGTGTGACCCAATAATGTTAATAATTTTGAAAATAATAGAATTCGTTATTATTTTGAAGTTGGGTATAAAAACCGATAATTTTTGTCGATTATTACCTCTTTACTAATAGTGTACTCTAGTAATCACACTTTCACAAGATTAGACTTATGTTTGAATGTGATTACAACCAGAGATATTCTTGGCATGTGAAAAAAGTGTGCACCGCTAGATATGAGCACATGTTTTGACAATACGTAAACCAACTCCTATTTTGTACATTTTTATTATTTCTTGACGTCTTACTTTATGGCTGTGAAACATGGCCAGTGAGAGTAGAAGATATTCGTAGGTTACTGGTTTTCGATCATAGGTGTCTTCGAAACATTGCTCGCATATCGTGGGACGCCCGAGTTAGCAACGCTGTTATTAGGAATCGGGTGCCAGGTAAGAATGGCAGATCAATAGATGAAGCATTGAAACTTCATCAGTTGAGGTGGTTGGGACATGTGTTGCGTATGCCCAACCACCGACTGCTTCGTCGAGCTTTGTATTGTAGTGTAGGAATAGGTTGGAAGGAAGCTAGGGGCGGCCAGACCAAAACATGGCAGAAATGCATGAAGTCATTGACGAGTGGACTTAGCCATCCATGTTGGTAATTGTCGACTACCTGGTTGGTGTCTGCGAGATGATAATAATCGATGGTTAGAGACCTTGAATGACATGGCTCGAAATCGTTCTCAATGGCGCCGGTGCATTTATTCTTTGTGTTCTCTCAGATCCTAATCTTCTGGATTCTTCAACAACTCTAGTTTTGACTTTGTAAACTTTTCTCATTTAATCATACTTGTTGAATAATATCTTCTCATCCTAACCTCTCCGATTACTTCTAATACCCTTACTAACTCTTCTACTATTGGATTTGAATTGACAATTACATCTGTGTGCTGATGTGGTATGGCGACATGAAGTGATGTACTTACGTACGAAGTTCTACGTTGCAACTGACTGACTGACTGACTGATCATACCTTCCAAATTTATTGATAGGGATAAACCGTTGTCATTCTATTGTTAAACAAGAGTTGAGATGTCCTCATTATTGTATTTATTTGGATATTTAACTAGAATTAATTAATATTAGAGCCCATTATTACCAGACAAATTTATTGTTGTAAAAGTACTTCTGTTCTTGTGTATATTCGCTAGAAATATGTTAAATGACTAGATTGTGTGATACTGACAAAATAAATTACTCCATTCTTTTGTATGTAACCAGTTTGATCTCATGTGCTGTTATTGGTATAAGGGAGGATATCATTTCTCGGCTGCCCACACCGTGGTAAGGTGTTTCTTGAGAAACCTGAAAAAGAAGGTAAATTAGTGTCGGTCTTAGAGACCTGGGAACGTGACCGCAGATTTCAAGGGACAACTGTTTGAGCCCGGTCACTCGGCCTTTATATGAAAGGTTTTCAGAGTATTAGCTCAGCTCTTTTTGAAGCCCTTATTGCACAGCCCTTACCGCCGGAGACAGAAATCCATGAAGAAAGCTGAGGTGTGACATTTTCATGGTCGAACTTTTCTGACCCCTTCCTTCCTTGTGAGAAGGCAGCATCGCTGTAGATGCTGGTTGTTTGAGGGAAACACCTCATTGCTGTCATATCTCTCTACAGTCAGCAGTACCACTTCGTCCTCAGACCTTAAGTAACTGCTTTTAGTCTCATCGTTCTCCAATCGACCTGCCTGACATGGTAGAACCTACAGGAACGTGTGTTCCAGCCAATATAGCTCGATTGGATCATCACGATAGGCAAGACCGACCACCACAACAAGGTAACAGCTACGGTCGGGCTTTTGTATGTGAAATTTTGTAAAATATGAATTGTTTCTTTGAACGTTTTACTTATTAGTAAAATTATGATAGTTAAACATAGTTGGTGGTTTCCACAGTGTGCATTTATCTGTTTAGAAGTTACCAGAGATAATCGTGAATATAGGTGGCCCAATATGACGACAGCTTTAGTCTTTAATAATAGACCTAATCTAGTTCGTAGTTAGTAGTTTTTGAGGTACTTTTATTGGAATGATAACTCTACATTCAGCTATACGTAACGTACCAAAGTATTGAAGTTATCATGTTGAATAACTATGCATATTTAACTAGGAAATAGTATTCCATGTAGTTATAATCATTTACCGGAAACTATTTACTGTCTGAACCGTTGTTAGTCAATTATAAATCTTTTAACTAACGTTGACCTTCACTGAAACAGAAGTTTTTCGGACTTAATTATTTAATAGACATTAACTACTTCAAATAATCAGGTAAATTTTTCGTAAGATCAATCTGAATTTATGAACCATGTGTACATTTTTCCTAATTACCGTTAACATTTATCAATGAAATGTTAATTTCAAGGTATCGTGAATTTGTATATCAACATGTGTTTTACTATCTGTTAACCATTTATGGATAGGATACAATATCTCACTATCAGAATATTATCAACGAAGGTAATCGGCTTCGTGATGATTTAAGAGAGGAACTAGCTCGTGTTCGAAAAGAAGTTGTTATTTCCCGATCACGATTGGCTACAGCAACAGCCCAACGTCCTATTAACAGTCCGGTTACTAGTACTCTGCATGTTCCTACGAACCGCGTTGCTTTCGATGAAGTCGATACAATGGCTACAGCAATGATGGCTATGGCTGATAATCCAGAGCTTAGTCACTTATGTAATCTACCGCCTCAGGATGTTATCATACAACTACGAACACAAATAGAACATCGTATTAGATTTTCAGAGTCTCTGAAATCTGAAGTTGAAAACCTCAAAGAAACAATCAGAGGAATGCTTGAAAAGGTAAATTAATTGATTTGTACTTTCGTTATTTTCTGTTCAGTTATTGTGTAGTAATAATGTTCTAACGTTTGCTTAAATGATTCCCAGCTAAATCCTATTGCTTAGTATTCTCTGACCGCAATACACTGGACAAGTCCCAAAGAATCAAAAACACGGTTGAACAGGAAAAGATTATATCCCAAATAGCAAGGTTAAGTGGAAATAAGGAGCCAAAGGTGATGGCGAAGGCGAAGGCCAAAAATAGATACAACCTTAGTTTATAGCATTTTTCATGAGAAGCTTCTGGATAGAAATTCACGTGATCGACTGGATTAGATTTAACCAATCAGCATGCAGCTAACAGTACCAGAATTTTCTACCCTGTTCTCCAAGATTGGATCAGGCGCTGATTGGATAGGAAATTAGCCAATCAGCGCGCAGCTGACGCAGTCATGCTTTATTCCATGTATGTTCCCCTAACAAATATTAATAATAATAATAATAAGGAATAATTCGACATTTAAGACCAAATACTTGACACTAATTAGTACGTGTTATTTATTCGGATGAGACTTTTGATTATCTATGTATTCCTCCACTACTTGCTATGATCTGTTTATCTTTCAGAATAGATGACAATGATGCATCCTCTAATCATTCGATATTTAATCCTTCTGACCATCACTACTACTACAACAACATTATTTTGCCTCGTTTAATATTCACGTAATTAATTTCATCTCGTTCTATGTTAATTCTAACTGAATTGATTTGAAGATTTGGAATTCTTTGGAACTACATTCTACGGTTCATTCTGATGTACATTTATGCAGTGATATATGTTTCTTACGTTAACATACAAAGTTTCATATTTTACACGTTTTGAGCTTTAAAGATTCACTTAAAATCCGTTTGTTTATCTCAGAACGTTTCGTAGGCTGTTCATATACATCCAAGAGTTCATGAATTTATAGTATGATTACGCTGAACTGCTTAGTATTGTCTTTTTTTCAAGTAGTAGCTTAATAATCAAGTCGTTCTGCTTTAAACCACTGTGTTCCAGATTCAAACCCCGTCCCATCTATTTGGTTATTAACAACTTGTAAGTTTCATCAGTCCTTACACTTAGAGTGTGATCCCAAGCCAGTTGATGAACCTGTTAACGCTGATCACTGACAAGTAGACTGAGTAATGTTGGTAGATCTAGGCTACCTGGTTGGGGTCCACGAGACAAAAGTCACCAATGGTTAGAGACCTTGAATTACATGGCTCAAAATCGTTTGCAATGGCTCAGGTGCATTCATTCCTTGTGTTCTCTCAAATTCTAATCTTCGAAATTCCTCATCGTCTCTATCTTTCTCTTTCTAACTTTATCTCACTGAACTATGTATACCCTAATCTTCTCAATTACTGTTAAATACTTCTACTATCTCTTCCACTATTAGATTTGAACTGACAATTACGTTTTGTCTTTCTAAACTTATCTCATTGAATCATACTTCTTGAATAATATCTTCTAATCCTAATCTCTCTGATTACTTGTGATACCTTTAATACATCTACTACTGTTGGATTTGAATTGACAATTACATCTCTTTGTGCTAATGTGGTATGGCAACATGAACTGATGTACTTAGGTACGAAGTTCTACGTTGCATCTGACTGACTGACTGATCACGTCTCTAATGCTAATATGGTATGGCAACATGAACTGATGCACGCACGTACAAAGTTCTGTATTGTATCTTCTGTCTAACTCATTTAATCATTAGCTTTTTTTTTCTCTTATCACCACTTTTATACCATAGGAAGTTGCTCAATCTATCATGATTAATTCATTACGTACAGAATTTAAAACTTTAGTTAAACCTGTTTGGCATTTATTACAAAAACATTATGATTTAAGCCAAATGAAATCATTAAATGCAATATTAAATATCAATTGTATCACACGAATAGCTAAACTTCTTACTATTCCAATTCCTGATTATGTAATTATGGAATTATCTCAATTCAATGATTCTCAATCTATTGTTACATCAAGTGATTCTCAAAAATCTCCTAGGAAAACTTCACAATCAATCAATCATTCTATTTTAAGTGAATCACCTCAAAAATTAGTTGACAAATCAAATGACAACATTCTTCACATTAATAATAATAATTCATCACCCTCTAAATCTTCAATTGATCAATCAGTTTTTGAAATGAACAACAGTTTTAATACACAAAGTTCTGCAGATAAAACAAATCAACTACCAATTATCAGTCCAAATGAAGTAGACTTAGATGAATCTGGTCAAGATGAAATGATCAAAAATGATACATCTTGTGAATTAGATAAAGTAGAATGTAAGTATATATATATGTATACTTATTGATTTTGTATTTATTGTTAAACAGTATGATGTGATTTTTAATTATGGTTATTCATTATATTTTGTTATCTTGGGAGTCTCATCAGTGCTGATGGCCTGGCGACTGACAAAATCTCAGCTCAGATACAGAAGGCTCGATTGGCTTTTGCCAAACTGCGTCACTTATGGCGTAGGTGAGATATCCGTTTGCTGACTAAAGGACGAGTGTACTGTTCAGTAGTTCGCTCCGTCTTACTTTATGTCTGTCAAACATGGCCAGCGAGAGTAGAAGATATTCGTAGGTTACTGGTTTTCGATCATAGGTGTCTTCGAAGCATTGCTCGTATATCCTGGGACATTCGAGTGAGCAACGCTGTTATTAGGAATCGGGTGCTAAGTAAGGTAGGCAGATCAATAGATGAAGTAATGAAATTTCATCAGTTGAGTTGGTTGGGACATGTGTTGCGTATGCCTAACCACCAACTGCCTCGAAGAGCTTTATTTTGTAGTGTAGGAATAGGTTGGAAGAAAGTTAGGGGCGGCCAAACCAAAACATAGCAGAAATCTATGAAGTCATTGACGAGTGGACTTAGCCATGTCGGTAATTGTCGACTACCTGGTTGGGGTCGGCGAGATGATAATAATCGATGGTTAGAGACCTTGAACGACATGGCTCAAAATCGTTTGCAATGGAGCCAGTGCATTTATTCTTTGTGTTCTCTCGAATGCTAATGTTCTGGATTCTTCAACACCTCTAATTTTGACTTTGTAAACTTTTCTCATTAAATCATACTTCTTGAATAATATCTTCTAATCCTAACCTATCCGACTACTCCTAATACCCTTACTACCTCTTCTACTATTGGATTTGAATTGACAATAACATCTCTGTGCTGATGTGGTATGGCGACATGAACTGATGTACTTACGTACGAAGTTCTACGTTGCATCTGACTGTTATGAATGAATATAGTATACTAGTTCGAAAGATGAAATATACATTGGCATGATGTGGTCGAGATTTATTTGTTAAAACTGAGCAGCAGCTTGTCAAGTAGATTGATATTAAAGGCAAGGTTGCTGCTAGTCAGACGAATCGATCGCCCACTCAATCAATAACAGGTTAAGATTAGACTTTTAATCATATCACTTCTATCGAAAAATAATATGAAATCCTTCTATGGTGAAGCTTTCGTTTTGGTAGTTAGTAATGAGGAGGTTCAACAACATGTATCTGGGCATCTTTATGTTATCTATCATCTTGAAACATCGACTCTGGTAGCTTAGATGTTGTATACTATGAATGTTGTTTCAGTAAATTCCACATCGTGCATGTCAATTTATGACATAGTATGAAAGTTGTACAGTACTGAGGTCTATCAGCCCTACCCGACTTTTATGTTCTGTATTTGAGTAACGCCAAACCACTGTACACAAATAACAACACCGAACGTTAGACTCCCACCGTTCAAAAAAATAAGAAGACGGAAGACGTTGGAGAACACTTATTAACAGAATCAAAAATTTACAAATCGAACATGTGTATTTATACAATCATACATATATGATCGATATTGTCGTTTCAAGTATTTGAATATTAAATCAAATAGTTCATCAATCGACTGCCCTTGAAATATTTAAGCATTGAATCGATAAGTTCATCCATCAATCCACAATGTGCATGGCTTTCTTCTCGATTGGCTATCCCAACACCTCCCCGGAATAAGATTTTTTTCTTGAGTCCACTTGTAGTCTTACGACTGGTTTGCGGCGGCGTTCCATTCTGGTTGTAGTTTTTCGTGTTAGTGTCTCCGACCTTCCCCTTTCTTCGGTATTCCGGGACAAATGTGTAGTTGTCGGTTCTGTGACCAACTCCAGCGGTAGATTTACGTGATTATCACCCGAGCGTACCATTCTTTTGTCCTTTCCCAGTTGTTTCGTGTGTCTAACACAGCTTCCGAAAGCTCCTGTTATTCGATACAAAACTCTTCCTAGTCTTTGTACGACGGTTCCTGGTTCCCCTTGATTTTTCCCCAGATATGATTTTAGGAACACTTTATCGCCAACGTTGAAGCTGCGAATATTTTGATTTGGCCTGTACCTATTCGCTCCTTTAGGGGGCGACATCGCGTTAAAAGTAGTCCGAATACGTCTTTCAAACATTGCTTCAGCTGGAGACTTTCCCTCTAGGACCGTATGGTTCGGAGTGCTTCTGTAAGCTGTTAAAAATCTAGTGATTACTTGGCTAGTTGGCCCCTCGTCTCCCCCTTTCAGTAAAGCTCTTTTGAATGTGTCCACGAAGCGTTCTGCTTGTCCATTGGATTGGGGATGGTAAGGTGGGGACCGTAGATGCGTTATGCCGACCCTATTGTTTGAGATCCTAGACATGGTGTGGCTCCACTGACTTGAGATGTTACCAGACGTGTGACTTGTATAATAAATGCCAAGGACAGCCTTGTTGTAATTTTCACTTACTTTCTTCATATAAATGAGAAAGATTGTAACTAGAAAGTATTATTTTTGGTTGTGTCTTTCGTAATTGCACTGTTTCTCTCATCCTTTACTATTTATTCTCTCCTGCTTATCTTGACTCATCATTGTGTATTTTTTTTAAAATTATACTTACTTACTTTTTTTCTCACTTCTTCATCAACTCATTTTCAATATTTTTGTTGAAAACTGGACACTTCCCTTCTATCGATTGATTTTCATAGTAGAAGGTTCTTACTTTAATCTTCTTTCTGTTGTTTAGAATAAACATTAAATTACATTGGTTTGTAAACTATTCTCATCATTCAATCTAAATGTGACGATACTGATAACCTTGAAATTGTCACCCTGTTTAGTAACTATTGTTTTGGCGGTTCGGAAAAATAATTTAGAGAAAATTAATCTTATGGCATTTTTGTTGTGAAAGAGAACTAATCAAAAACTAACTACTGGAAGTTCAGGAATTGTTACATTGCATCTTTATTTTGAACCAAAAGATTAACTGGTTTCGTGATGTCTACTGTACGACTGACCGATCACCAAAGACCCAATGATAATATCTACAAATGTTGCTACATTTATTGAGATGAATAAATTGTTTTTAATTCAATAAAACTTTGACATCAAATTGAGCATTCGTCAAGTATCCTAATAAAAACTTATATTATGCGTTTACTTTACATTTAGTTCTTGTATTTTGTATGTTTTCAAACATTCAATCTTGAAATCTCATGGAATTCTAGGTCCAAAACTCGCTAGTGAATAATATTATCTGGTTGTCTATCTAGTTCGTGGTTAGTGAAACAGGGTTTGAACCTGAGACTTAATGGCTTAAGATCGAACCCATTAACCAACCACTGAGCCAACTCTCCAAAATACTGTTCAGACATAACAATCTCCGATATTAGTGAGTACGTTTTTAATGGTGATTAAGATGTGTTGGTAATGTATGTGCCTGCCGAGATGGATGACCGGATTGCGGACATTTTGATGTCGCGCTCCGTACAGTATCATGTGCATGTACGTTATATTTGTTTGAAAATGGGGAAATGACTAAGGATTATATATATATATATCCAGATAACCATTGTTCACTCTCGTTTATGTCTTGTCTACTTTTTATTCATATAGTGATGTCTGTTTATTCATCAAGTGGAAGTAGTAGGTGTGGTAGTTTAAAATTTCCTGATGTCTCCTCGTCGTCAGATGATGATGATGATGACGGTGCTTTTAATAACGACGAAAACAAAAGTTTTGAGAATAATAATAATAATAATAATAATGACAACAATAATAATAAATCTTTACAAGAATCTTGTGAAGATTTATTCGAAGATCAAAATGTAATTACTCAATCACCTCTTCATCAAGAGAATATTACAACTAGTGAACTGAATATATCAATTGGCGATCTTGAAGAGGAATCAGTCAATATTAGTTCATCCTCTAATCATGCTTCTTGTTCTCCTACGATTCTAAAAGATGTTCAATTTGAGAAAAACATAGTTCCTGACTTACAAGTAAAACATGTTGAAGACAATACTCAGTCATCACAACAGCATTTAATCAGTTTGGAAGTAATGTCAAGTAGTAGTGGTGTTATGGAGAAAGAGAAAGGTAACTAATTTTCTGTTAATCTGTGAATAATTTACGGATTTTTTTCAAGTATTATTTAATCAAATACAGAGAGTAACACTTTATTTTGTTTGTTTAACAAAAAAAAAGATTATGTGCACATTTTATTTCTAAAATTTTCAGGATTATTTTTCAAACAACCACTGAGAATTTTCTTGCATATATTTAGATTGGGTTTCATCGGCACCTGAACTAGTGATAGGTAGTGAAGTAGTCGAACATGTAGACCGCTTCACTTATCTTGGGAGTCTCATCAGTGCCGATGGCCTGGTGACTGACGAAATCTCAGCATGGATACAGAAGGCTCGATTGGCTTTTGCCAACCTGCGTCACTTATGGCGAAGGCGAGATATCCGTTTTCTGACTAAAAAACGAGTGTACTGCTCAGTAGTTCGCTCCGTGTTACTTTATGGCTGTGAAACATGGCCAATGAGAGTAGAAGATATTCGTAGGTTACTGGTTTTCGATCATAGGTGTCTTCAAAGCATTGCTCGTATATCGTGGGACACCTGAGTGAGCAACGGTGTTATTAGGAATCGGGTGCTAGTTAAGAATGGAAGATCAATAGATGAAGTAATGAAACTTCATCATCATCACCACCGACTGCCTCGTCGAGCTATGTTTTGTAGTGTAGGTAGAAGGTTGGAAGAAAGTTAGGGGCGGCCAAACCGAAACACGGCAGAAACCTATGAATTCATTGACGAGTGGACTTGGCCATGTCGGTAGTTGTCGACTACGTGGTTGGGGTCTGCGAGATGATAATAATCGATGGTTAGAGACCTTGAATGACATAGCTCAAAATCGTTTGCAATGGCGCCAGTGCATTTATTCTTTGTGTTCTCTCAAATCCTTATCTTCTGGATTATTCAACACCTCTAGTTTTGACTTTCTAAACTTTTCTCATTAAATCATACTTGTTGAATAATATCTTCTAATCCTAACCTCTCCGATTACTTCTAATACTTTTACAACCTCTTCTACTATTGGATTTGAATTGACAATTACATCTGTGTGCTGATGTGGTATGGCGACATGAAGTGATGTACTTACGTACGAAGTTCTACGTTGCAACTGACTGACTGCATATATTTACTCGATGGTTGTATGCGAATAAATGCATTATTGTATGTGATGAACATGACATGTTCATATATTGTATGGAGTTTGGTTAGTGTAGTGCCTAGTCCACTTGTAGACGAATATTACGATAAAGTGCTTCTTTGTATAATACTTATGTATAATTTTGCATATGAAATGATAACTTATTTGACAAAAATACCTGAATATCAAGCACTGAGGTTCTACTTCTAGCCTTACCTTTTAAGTTTGATCAGCTAAAAATCAGAGGTATGTAAACATCCTTCACTTTGTGGTTGTTCACATTGTGGAGTGTTATTTCTTCTTGAAGTTTCTGATAAAGAAACTAGTTTAGTGGCGGTCTTGATGGTGTGGAGAGGGTGATATGGAACCTAAGAGACAGCCGCTGAAAACCAAGCACGCAATATTTTTTGAGTAGCCTTTGGTGTGTGATAGTTGAATACTTTTCAAGCCTTACCACTGGCTAATAACATGTAGGTTAAGGTGAGGTGTGATATTCTTAGGCTTTACCTATTCTGATATTGCTGACAGTGTTGTTTATTCAAATGATCTAGTTTGACATGGTGGTAAAGCCTGACTATATCACCTCAGGGTATAATAGCTTCCGTCGAAATTCAAACAACCTGATAGTATTACTAGTTGTCATAAATAAAATTATGGCTCAAAGCGGAATGTACAAACATGTATTTAGTGTTACTAAGGTATGTTAGAGTTAAGATAACAAGACTTGAGATTTTTATAAATATATTTCTTATAGGTCGGTTATTTTTGAGAGACAATGTGTTAAATGTGTTATAAGTTTATGATCTACAAAAGCAGTGTATTTAGGTGACCTTTGGGGTCAAATTTACTAGAAATCGACTGTAGAACAGATATGTAACTCATATGAAATGTGAAAAAGATACTTTACTACTACCAAACGAAACAAGTTAAGTGATTTATTTGTCAGATAGAGTTATCATAATACTGTAAACTAATTTAAATCAAATTATAAAGCGGTTGCTTAATGGTTAAAGTATTGGGATTTTAAACATCACGACATAAGTTCAAATAGAGCGTCATCTATTTCATTGTTATTGTAGCTAATGTCGCTAGTGAGACAGTTACCCACCAAAGATAGTAAAAGTCGGGTCACATAATGTTGTGCATTGATTTAAGTTAGGCGTTAGCACCGTTGGATGCCTTCTTAGTTAGTTGTCTAGAGGTTAAGCATTTGAGCATCCGACCGAAGATCCTTGGTTTGATTCTCGCATGAGGAGTTATGGATGTACACTACTAAGGAGCATTATACTAGAAAAGAACGAACGACCTTCCAGTTTTTTCGCGTTTTCAATAATTCCCTTAAGGTTAATCAATAATGTTAACTTAAGTTTAACTAAACTCACTTTGTTGTAACGCTTGCTTAGATAATTCCCGGCTAAAACCATATTGCTTGGTATTCTCTGACCACAATACACTGGACAAGTTCCCAAGAATCAAAAACACGGTTGAACAGGAAAAGATTATATTCCAAATAGAAAAGTTTAAATGGAATAAGAGCCGAAGCCGAAGAAGGCAAAAATAGATACAACGTTAGTTTATTTATAGCATTTTTCATGAAAAGCTTCTGGATAGAAATTCACGTGATCGACTGGATTAGATTTAACCAATCAGCACGCAGCTAACAATACGAGAATCTTCTACCCTGTTCTCCAAGAATCGATCAGGCGCTGATTGGATAGGAAATTAGCCAATCAGCGCGCAGCAACGTGGTCATGCTTTAATTCGATCTATGTCCCACTAACACAATTATTAGTAAGGTATTGTTAATTCTTTAATGTTTATTTAATGAACTTTGAGTTATTCACTAGAACTTTTGTTACTTTTTATTTTCTAGATGAAAATGAAACACCAAGTTGTCCTAGCACAAAAGCATTAAACTCTTCTCGTACATCAAAATCTTCTGAACACTCTCATAGAATGGTTACTCGAAGTAAATTCAAATGTAATTCTCAACTAGCTGATTCACCATTGAATATATCGTCTTTTCATACGAATGACAATGTACCAGTGAATTCTTACGAAAAATTATCAAATTCTCAGTGTAAATTAATTTTAGAAAATACGGTGACTTCGAAAAAGTTAACTAAACCATCATCATTATCTTCATCATCATCTGTACAACAATTAAAAAGTTTAGAAAAAAATCATAAACATTCTAAAATAAACTTAACCTTAGACGACAATATTCCCTCGCGTGTATTAACTTGTCCTACTATGTTTTCTCGCAATTCAAATTGTTCTCCTGCATCGTCATCACCATCATTCTCATCATCATTGTCACTAAAATCAGATATTCAATTATTTTCATTATTATCTAATAAATATTCATCAGATATTTTACAATGGTGTAATCAACTTTGTTCATTGCCTTTCTTAAATGAAATTCCAAAATTATGTTCTAACAATCGAATCTCATCTACTCCAATTACTTCTCCAACTCATCTTCAAGTTCCTATCACTAGTGTTGAAACTTCACAAATTCATTCTTCTAGTCCAATAAAAAGTAAAAAACTAGGCAAGTTAAATGATCAAAATACAACAATTCATCAAAGAGCAGTGATCAATAATAAATCTCCTGCTAAAAAATTAATACTTGATTGTTTGTCCGAGACTGTAAATGATACAATAATTACTAATACTGATCCTAACAACAAATCAGATCATCAATATAATAAAATACAACAAAAATGTATAAATTTTTTATTATCTAAAGAAAATTCAATTGAAAACGCGCCAATAGATTTATTTAATGAATTAAAACAAACAAATATACCAATTCAGATTATTTTATCTTCACTTAATACTATTTTAACTTCCGCCGAATATTCACATTGTTTAGTACTTTTAAAATTAATCGATGAGAAATTTACTTCTTTATGTCATGCTATACGTATTGTTGATCATGAAAAAGAAGAGATATTATCTTGTTGTCAACAATCTACTCAATGGTTGCTTACTGCCTGTAATAAATTTACAAAAATTATTCAATTTTCAATTGCTTCTAGTGTCATTTTTAAATTATTATGTAATAGTGTAAATTTTATTCAAATAGAATGGTGTAGACAATTTTTCATTCAATTTATAAGTTATTTATTTCATCAACCATTTAAACAATTTGATTTTGCTTTGTATTTAATGCCAAATATTATTGATAATTGTTTAAGCGGTTTTCCTAATTTATGGTGTGATTTAGAGTTATTGAAAAATGATGACGATGACTTACATTCGTTTACCTCATTGAAAATTAATAATGATGGTCAATTTTCATTTTCTTACATAACTGCTACATTAAAAATATTGTTAAGTTGGCAAGAAGCAAGAGAATGTCGAAGTGCATGTTTAAAATCTAATGTTCAGTTGGATTGTAATCGGATGGCTGTTTATCATAGACTTCGTGAAAAAGGTTGGTTACCAGTGAAAACATCCGATTCATCAACACGTATTGAAGCGCATAATCTCGTATTCTCTCAACAAACTCATCGTATTCGCTGTTTATGTCTTCGATTGGTAGATGCATGTTTAAATGTGTCTCGTGATCATATCAGCTCAGATGATTCTTCAACACATGTGATGATATTGTCTAACACAGTGGTTGATCTGGATATTATTTATTCTTTAAGATTAATTCTATCTGCAATGGCTTTTGTTGTTGGTGAAGAAGCAATGGTTGGTTTCTATGATGAAAAATCTGCTAGTGTTTCTTCAAAATCTAAAAATCATCAACGTACACGAAGATATCGACAAGTGGAACGACACAGACAACATGGTTTATTAGGTTGGCTTATCACAGGTCGATTACTTCCTTGGTTAACTAAATGCTTAAAGTAAGTCAGTCTACTTAATTAATTTAAGTGGTATATTAATAAAAATATATTTTTTCATAACGTTTACATTTTTTCTGTAAACTGTCAAAATCATTCGTTATCTATTGTTGGAGGCATCAGATCCCCAGAACTCATTTGTTAAAGGTCCTAGTTTTGGATTTTATGCTTTCGCACACGGGCTAATCAGTTGACCTTGAGATTACATTTTCCACCCCGGAAAATCCTTAGCTGTATGTAATTGGTTGATGGATTGTTTTGGTGCGCAATTTTTGTGGCTCTCCCAAGGACGTTTCTATCATGTATAAATAAACTCTATTTGTATGCTTGTGAACCTTGATTTTCTGGGTGTTTGTAGAATACACTTTCTAAGTCTTGTCAAGACTTCTTCCTCTATTTAGTGGGGCCTTGGGAAGCTCGGATTATAGTAGCCTATCGTGTTATAGGATCATTTGTCCTCGCTCTTGTTTACTGACTAAGGTGAACTCGTAATAGTTCAAGCATATCAACTGGTGGTAAGCATAACATATATAAACCATCTCGTTTTTATAGGTCAATAAAATGTTCCTAAGTATTAATTAGTCCTCCTGTCGTAGGTTCAATTCATTTATAAATCACGTCTGTATTATAAATTACTCTGGTCATTAAACATGCACTGAGAAACTTGTCAGTCATTAATAGCTTAAAATCTGGCGCATATGTATATACATATAATATATATCATTTCAGGTTTCCAACAACATAGAAGCACAATGAGATGTAATAAATAAATGTTAAGGCATGAATTTCTGGGATGACAAAGTATAAGTTAGTTTTAAAAGTGAAAATGTAATGGGAAATGAATGGTAAGTGAGTGCATCTGTATCATTGTGAGCTGTTCTGATCCTATATATCACCCAACGCCTTCATACTCAACTTGTGAGTCTGCACTTATCAGTTTCTTCATTTCGATTTTTGTTATGCGATAAAGACAGGATTGATTACTCCTTGTTACTTGACTAAAATCTAAGCGGAGGTCGTAAAAAACGATCAAGTCATCATACAATCTATCTATCTACATTGTGTTTTTATCGGGACTGTGCCAAGAACCACAATTCAATATCCTATTACAGATTGATGTTTTCAACTTTAAAATACACCTTGTGTTAAGATTACTAATAACTACCATCCGAAGGTCCTGGGTTCGAATCCTACGAGTTGTAAGAATTGTGGATACGCACTGCTGATGAGTAGTCCCACACCAAGACGAAACGGTCATCTAGTGCTTCCACGTTCCTAACGGTTGTCTACCATTGATCGATTGTACGATTTCATTCAGTAAATTAAAATAGACAAGGAATAATATTCCGGCATATAGTTCCAAGTGTTTTAAAGTTGATCTTTTTTTGAAACCATGAATCGATCAATGTTAGACCACCATTAGAAACCTGGAAGCACTGAAATACAGCCGTTTCGTCCTGGTATGGGACCCCTCAGCAGTGCGCATCCACGACTCCTGCACCTCGCAGGATTCGGACCCAGGATCTTCGGTATTGTAGGCGAACGCCTAACCTCTGGACCACTGAGCCGGTATTTAACGATGTTAATGTCTAACTTGATCAATTCACGGAGTTCCGCAACCTCATACACAGTCTTCGGTAGTAGTTACTGTCTACACCCGAACAGGTTGAACTTCACTGGTCACGACTTCCTACTAGAACTCGAAGAAGATCCCTCACGAAGCTAATCACTAGTGAGTACAGGTAATTTGCATTACGGGGTTGTGAAGATTGTTGTTAAGTTACACATTTTGAAACTATGAATTGATCAGTGCTTCTAGGTTTCTAATGGTGATCTAACAATGATCGATTCATGATTTCAAAATCTGTAACTTAACAACAATCTTCACAACCCCGTAGTATAAAAGTTGATCGTTTTCAATGCTAAATCAAAACTTCATCACGAATCCAATTGAGTAACATTGTTTAATTTTTCTATTTTTTAATCTTATGTAATCTTTTTTTGTTACTGTATATATATATATATATATATATATATATATATATATATATTACGTAACTGTTTAAATTTCATATTTATTTATTTTTTATTCATTTTATGCTTATATAATACAGAATGAAAAATTTATCAACAAATACTGATACATTAAATCTTATACATCGTTTAAGTTGTCTACTTACCGATATCCTTATATACAGTTCACATTTATTTAAAACTAATCATCCAGGAGAACAATGCAATTCATTGAAACAATTAATATTTCATGCTGGCAATCAATTATTACATTTGTTAACTCATAATAAATTCAAAGAAATCATTATACATGATCAACAATCATCACCGTCATCATCATCATCATTATTATCATTAACTTATCTTATTTGTTGTATTCGTTTAATTGGATTTAATCCAAAATTAATTATTCAATCTATTAGTCAATTATCATTGGAAACAATTAATCATTGTATTGAACATATAAATAATTCAAATGAATTATTTACTTATTTATGGCCGCCATCCTCATCATCATCCTCATCATCGTCATCGTCAGCCCAGTCGTCGTCGTCGTTGTCTGTTACACATTCTCATTTATTGAAACATTTAATTGAACAGTCTATTATACTTGTAAATAGTAGTAGTGGTTCCGATATACCTGTTGACTTATTACAACATTATATTCAAACATGTCAACTTATTTTATCTAAGTTGTCTTGTTTGTTGTAAATTTTTTTTGATTTGTTTTTTTCACATTTTGTATACATTTGTATTTGTTTACTTGTTTATTTAGTGAATTGATTAAAAAGAAAAGTGTATACTTTTGTACATATATATATATATATATATATATATATATATATATATATACTACACACAAGAAAGCAACAGAATAATAATAATAATAATAATAATCCTAGTCATGTTTTGTACATACATACATACATACATACATACATACATGCATACATACAAACATACACACATACATACAAACGAACATACATACATACATACATACTTATATTATTTATAACAAAAGTGTATATAAAAAGAGTTTTATGCTTATTGATAACAAATTGTTTTTTCATTTTGTAACAAGATTTTGTTTGTGATATGTAATTTCAATTTGACAAAAGGTTTTATTAAAATTGATAGAGGAATATATAACTTTTTAATAGTATTATTATTATTATTACAAGTGCTTCATTTCATCTGATACATTTGTCCAATTGTTGATTACCCGTGTGTGTGCGTTTTGTGTGCATGTTAGAGTGATGGTTGCAGTAGTTTATTTAAGCTGTTTGATTCTCAGTCATTGGAGTTTCAGGTTGAAAACTTCATGCTTAACCCACAGTTTCGGCAGCTGGTTAGTGTTAGTATGACTAACCGTCATAAACATATAGAAGAGAATTGTGGTTCAAAACCAAATAAAACTAATTTCTACACTAGGTAAACAAGTTGAATAATTTTTGTTGTGTAGGAGTAGGTTGAAAGATGATAGCTAGGGGCGACCAAACCAAAACATGGCAGAAATGCATGAAGTCACTGACAAGTCGACTGAGTCATGTTGGTAGATGTAGGCTACCTGGTTTGGGTCCGCGAGATGATAGTACTCGTACGCAGTTCTACATTGTAACTGGCACACTGAATCCAACCAGTTTTATCGTCACTGATTAACCGTATTAACTGATCTTTCTGGTGGTTTTTCAACTAAAACCGACCCAGCCCCACATATGGATGGGTAGCCAATGACTGAATATAGACGAAAGTTTATTTGATATATTAATTAATGTATTTGTAAAGAATCCTACTATTGAGTTGAGTTAGATTTTCTGTTCATTCAATCATAAGATTGTTACAATAGTTTCAAAATCACAGCATTATTCGTCTAATTTCTGCTGAATTGAGTAATTTTCTTCGTTGTTAGGTAATCGCTGGTAGTTGATCGGAAATTCTACCTACAACCATTTCAAATTTTAACCTTATGCATATGACATTTATTCACTTAGATGAGTGGCTACATTGTGACTTGATTCATAGAATTCAACTCTCGCAACAACTAAGCAACTAGACAAATACGACATTGTTCACTCTTCAGTAATCAGTAGGTTTACATTTTCCAGCTGATTTTAAAAATACTACTTATTATGAAATAGGCCAATTTTTTCTAAATGACTTTTTCCTTTCATAAATGTCTTTTTAAAAAAAGAGTATTTTCCCTTAATTGAATTTAGAACATGGTGGTACCTTTGCCAGCTGTTGCGGAGCGTATGAACAATCCGAATAATCCTGTTGTATTCTTTGATGTCACAATTGGTGGACAGGTAAATGTAGCCTTTAAATAATAATTCGTATTTTTTTTTAAAACCAACTACATTTCGTGATTTATTTGTATAAACTTACTATGTTAATCAGTTAGCCATTAACAGCTTAAAATCTGGCATTATATATGTATATATATTACAGGGTTGTGAAGATTGTTAAGTTACACATTTGAAATCATGAATCGATCAATGTTAGACCACCATTAGAAACTTAGAGACATTGGACGGCCGTTTCGTCCTGCTATGAGACTCACCAGCAGTGCCCATCCGCGACTCCTGCACCTCGTAGTATTCGAACTCAGGACTTTCGCTCCTGTACGCGAACGCCTAACCTCCGGACCACTGATCTGGTATCTAACGGTGTCGATGTCTAACTTCGATCAATTCTGGAGTCGTGGATTCACTACTGCTGATGAGTCCTATACTAAGATGAAACGGCCGTCCAGTACTCCCAGGTTTCTAATGTGGTGGTCTAAGATTGATCGATTCATGATTTCAAATATATATATATATATATATATATATATATATATATATATATATATATTTGTTGAAGTTGTTACACCACACCAACACAGTGATATAAAAGTGTCAAGGGAAGTCCCAATCAAAGTAGTAGACGTAGTAACAGTATCAGTGATATAGTAAAAGTATTATGCATACACATTCTTATGATTGAATCCTAAAAAAACTTGAATTTGTAATATTGCAAAGTATAGGTTAATTTTTGTTGAGGAATCTTGTAATATTCTTTTTAAACGTGTTTTGGAGGCCCAGAAATGCCAAGAAATGTTTTATACAATCATCATTGGATAGAGGCTTTGCAGAAGCATCTTTTAAATGCTTAATCACGATTGAATGTTTACACATACCGCCGCTACTAATTTAGTTTGGTTCACGATGTCTTGAATAACTATGCAACTACGCCCGTTTTTCGTCTCATACTTTGCACCCTTTTTTCTTCGGCCCGAGTTGCAGTGTAGATTTAGTTTGGAGTTATTAGAAGCGAATTGAAAAATTAGTTCCAGTGTTCATTTAACAGACTTATCAATTTCATTAATAAACATTTTATGCACTTTTACGATCAGTTGCCAGCCACATGGCTCATAATTTCATCAATCTGTTAGACTGAATGAACCTACTCCCACACTATATCAAGGGTTTTTATAATAAGTATGGTTTTCCAATCGAGGTCTTTACGAACACCTATTTATTTAATCTAAAGACTGTTATCAAACTTAAATACTTGTTATCCCGGGTAACAATATTGAGTAGTTTCCCAAAAATGCCCTATATCTGCATTTTACCTCTCTGTGTAAAAGTAAATACAGTACTCCTGTCTGTCTGTGATGGAATGAGTGAAAATAGGCAATAATGTAACTTTAATGTAAGATCCTATAGGTAAGGCTGTTTGTTACATCGTCACGACTAGTCAACTGTCATTATATTAAGGCCATTAGTTTAGTATCATAAATCGATTATCTAATACTAGTACTAGGCCTAAATTTCACATATAAACCATCCACCTCATTCTATGAGGATGTACAGTTTTATCAGCTAATTTCTATCCATTCAGCAGTACCTACCATACATGCAACTTCTCAACACTGTCTAATTAGTGAGCGATACTTCGAAGACACCTATGGGTGTAAAGTGTACAGATAGGCTTCTCACTAACTGTTAAGTTCATTAACTTTTTAATTGTTTTTGTGTTTTCTTTATAGGAAATCGGTCGAATGCAATTTGAGTTATTTCAAGATATTGTTCCAAAAACTGTAGAAAATTTTAGGTAGGTACCATTTTATGTTTTCTAGTTACGTTTTTTTTATTACTATTTATTTAGCGTTTCCACAAGCTAGAAGTCATGTGCGTTAATTATTAAAAAGAAGTCCAGTATCAGTTCAAATAATCTGTGAGGTTGATGGCCATACAGTTAGTAGTTACCTCGAAGGCAGTCTCAAACTCTGAATATAGACCACTTAGAAGGATTGTTTGACTGATTTGCTACTCCATCAAAGTGTTAGGATATTCATCCAATATCCTAAGAGAATTATTGGTCAGTTCCTGTTGGTTAATTTCTACTGGTCAATTTTATGGTCGTCCTAGATATCAATGTCACGTGCTCCAATGTTGTTTCTTATTGGTCATCCTGAATTTCAATGTCACTTCAAATGTTGTTTCCTATTGGTCGTCTTAACTGTCACTGTCACATACTTCGATGATGTTTCTTATTCGACCGAATTGTACAAATACGCATTATTTGTAACGTTTTATGACCAGGACCCGGTCCCGGATCCCTAGTTCGGGATCCTGATTCTCTTCTGGATTCGGACCTCGTACTTTCTGGATGCTTGTAGAATAATACATGTTCTACTTTATATCAAGTCTTCTTATTTTTACTCAATATGGGGGTTCGGACACTCGGATTAGGGTAGCATGTCGTGTCACCGGATCCTCGATTCTCGCTCTCGTTTTCCGACTAACGTAAACTCGTAATAGTTCAAATATATCAAACTGACGTGTTCACATACGGGCGTAGCACAAAGTATATCAGACGTTTATACTCCTTAGTCTGCGACTACTTATACACCAAAGCCTTTTACAACGATAGATGTGAATGTTTAATGAAAAAAACTGGCTAGGTGTTTTGAAAAAAAATTTGATATACCAACGGCTTTTTACTATCATGGGATTAATGGATTAGTGTTACACTCTTTAAAAATTACTGACGTAGTTTATGTGATAAATTATCCAGTGGATAAGTTTACTTACTTACTTACTTACTTACTTACGCCTGTTACCCCCAATGGAGCATAGGCCGCCCACCAATTTTCTCCAACCAACTCTGTCCTCGGCTTCTCTTTACAGTTCTGTCCAGTGTTTGTTCATTCTTCTCATATCTTTCTCTATTTCTCGGCTTAATGTGTTCCTTGGCCTTCCTCTTTTCCTTTTGCCTTCAGGGTTCCATGTAAGGGCTTGTCTCGTGACGCAGTTAGGTGCTTTACGTAGTGTGTGTCCTATCCACTTCCACCACTTCTTCCTGATTTCCTCCTCCACTGCAATCTGGTTTGTTCTCTCCCACAGTTCGTTGTTGCTGATGGTGTCTGGCCAAAGGATCTGAAGTGTTTTGTGTAGACAACTGTTAATAAACACTTGTATCTTCTGGATGATGCCTTTCGTAGTTCTCCATGTTTCCGCTCCATAGAGTAGAACTGTCTTGACATTTGTATTGAAATTCATGATTTCGGTTTTGATTGAAAGTTGTTTGGAGTTCCAGACATTTTTCAACTGTAGAAATGCAGCCCTTGCTTTGCCAATCCGTGCCCTCACATATTATTTTTAAACTGTTAACTTTCATCACACTCCAAAGATTATATATACAAAACTAATAATAGACTGATTCATAGAGGATAGGCCGGGTTTTTTATTCAGTTTATAGTTATACTGATCATGTACTCATTCGATAAGTGTTGAAAATATAACTTTTAATTCTCAACATCAGCAATGCATTTGAGTGTTTTAGTGGTGTAAGGTTATTGTTTTTACTCTCATTTCAAATACCTACCTTCATGTTCACGCTTTTGTGACTACCAGATTTAGAACGTGAACAATTAGTAATTAACTTTTATTGTTATTTATTCTATTTTAATTTCAAATTACGCAACAGGCAATTTTGTACAGGAGAATATCGTAAAGACGGTGTACCAACTGGTTACAAAGGAACATCATTTCATAGAATCATTAAAGATTTCATGGTACAAGGTGGTGATTTTATTAATGTAAGTTGATGTATGCAATAAGTACTTGATATTTTGAGTTGTTTCTGTTTCCAGAAATTGTAGATTAGTATGAATTTATAGAGGAGTTTAATTGTTACAATTTTTTTTAACTTCTCTCTGTCATATTGTTACGTAAATACGTAAAAATATCAATTTGATATGCTTGAACTATTTCGAGTTTACCTTAGTCGGAAAACCAGAGCGAGGATCCGGTGACACGAGATACTACCCTAATCCGATTGTCCCCAATCTCCACTGAATAAAAGAAGAAAACTTGGAATGAAGTAGAACCTGTATTCTACAAGCATTCAGAAAGTACGAGGTCCGAGTCCAGAAGAGAATCAGGATCCGGGCCCGGGTCGTAGAATGTTACAGATAATGCGTATTTATACATTTAAGTCGATTAGGAAACAACATTGAAGTCTATGACATTGACAGTTAAGACAACCAATAAGAAACAACGTTTGAAGTGACATTGAAATTCAGGACGATCATAAGTTTGACTCGTAGGAATTAACCAATAGGAACTGACCAATTATTCTCTTAGGTTATTGGATGAATATCCTAACACATATGTTCGAACTCTTTTTTATCCGTGTTATTATTATGAATGCTTAATTGATTGATTGATTGAGTCTGTTCTGTACGCCTAACTCTATCAGAGTTCGTTTTTTTGTCATAAAATATGATAAGTCTATTCATGAAAATCCAGTCTAATTTCATTTCATAATCAGTACTTGTTTTCGGAAACTTCAGATGTAATTCAAAATAGTATATTCATTTAATACATGTATGTAGAATAACATTAAAATAACTGTAGTGTAAATCTGTTGTTCATAGCCGCGATTGCATTAGTGTACGGTTTCTCACTTTGTTTCCTCTTTATACTCTTCATATCTTGTCATCCGATGAATGGTAAAATAAGTTATTATTGTTTCAGGGGAAATATAAAACACCAGTAATTTGTACATAGATTGTTGTTTTTAATCCCGTTCGAATCTAATCCTATTGGATGTAGGCAGTAACTATCAAAGACAAATGTGTGAGGTTGCGCCCAATACCTAGATTGATCAGAGTTAGACATTAACACTGTTGGATGCCGCCAGCCCAGAGGTTAGGCATTCGATCGAAAGACCGAAAGTCCTGGGTTCAAATCCTGTGAGTTGCAGACGTCATCGATGTGCACTGTTGATGAGTCTCATACCAAGACCAGAACGGTCATCCAGTGCTCCCAGATGGTCTAACAATGATTGATTGATTGATGATTTCTAATGTGTAAAAAAAATCATGTTATCATCATCAGTTTAGATTTAGGTTGGAAATATAGAGTTGGTGGTTACCTTCAGAGAATAATTTTCTCAGCGCATACATCTAGACCATTTTGAGCACATAATTCATTAAACACTTAAAGAAGTTAGGAAAAAAAAAACAGATTTACAAAATGAATTATCCATCTTTTTTAACGATTACTATTATTGTTGAGATATTTGAATGAGGCAAAAAATAGCCCGATAGAAATGGATGTGTGTGTGTTTGTGAACTATTCCCGACTGAACATACTTTTTGATGGGTTTTTGAAATTTTTCTTAACACTAAAATAGGAAAACCATATCGTAAACCGTTAATTTGCTAAACATCAATCCATTGTCTGACATTTCACTCACTATTCATACGTTTCATACAAATCCCATTGTGTTCCCGCTATTCTTCCCTTCACTTGATCTTCCCCCATCTTCTGCTTGCTGCCAGACATTACGTTTTCACTCGCGTCATATACTACTTATAAGTAACGTACACTACACTACAATATCAAGTGCGCATTCAATTCTACCTTTAAAAAAAAATACTGTTTATTTAATGAAACATTAATTTTCAGGGTGATGGTACTGGATCGTTTAGTATTTATGGTGGTGTACAATTTGCCGATGAGAATTTCGAAGTGAAACATTGTACTTGTGGCATGTTATCTATGGTAAGTGTAATGTGTATACTTCATAAGGTTCTCTCACTGTAATTTGAAGTTATTTATTATGCAACAGTGATATACATATGGAATAGTTTTTGAAGTGTAAAACATGATGTATGATTTTAATAGTATAAAGGTTTGTAATTTTTCTATGGTTGATATTCAGTAATTGAATTAATTTTGGTCCCATATTGCAACGTGCATATCATGTGTGTACATATTCCACACCTGTTTCTGATGTATGTTGTCACATGTATGTGGCTAATAATCGAATGTCAGACAGACAGACAAAAATACAACGCGGAACTTTGTACATAGGTATATCAGTTCCGGTTACCATATTACATCAGCACAAAGACGCAACTGTCAGTTCAAAACCAATAGTGATAGTGATACTAGAAATATTAACAGTAATGGATAAGATTAGGGAGCGAAGATATGATTCGGAAAGTATAATTCAGTGATATAAATTTAGAAGGAGAAAGATGGAGATTATGAGGAATTCAGAAGGTTAGAATTAAAAAGCACACAAAGAGTGGATGCACCTGTGCCATTGCAAACGATTCTGAGCCATGTCGTTCAAGGTCTCTAACCATTGATGACTTTCGTCTAGCGGACCCCAACCAGGTAGCCTACATCTATCAACATCACTCAGTCCACTTGTCAGTTACTTCATGCATTTCTGCCATGTTTTGGTTTGGCCGCCCCCAGCTTTCTTCCAACCTACTCCTACACCAAAAAACAAAGCTCGTCAAGGCAGTCGGTGGTCGGGCATTCGTAACACATGTTTCAACTACCTTAACTGATGAAGTTTCAATGCTTCATTTCTTGATTTGCCATCCTTACCTAGAACTCGTTTTCTAACTATAGCATTGCTTACTCGGTCGACCCAGGATACACGAGCAATGCTTCGGAGACAACGGTTGTCGAAGACCAGTAACCTACGAAAGTCCTCTACTCCTCAACAGTGCACAGATCGAACCCGGTGCTCTCAAACCTTGAGATCAGAAATCAACTTTTCGACCTCCATCCAATATTTTACATGTTTACTTGTTCGGGATATTATACAATCATTTACTGATATCACATCCATAGTTGAACTCAATGAGTCTCGTTTTCTCACTACAACACCTGCGATTGCGTCTCAAAATTAATCACCAGTATATCATTCGAACCAGTGAATTCCGATTTGGTGGTTTCAAGATTAAGTGTTCGCTGTGATATCTGTCATTGATTTAATGTGGTAAAGCATGTGAGTATCGTGCATTGCTTGTTCATTGATGGGTTTGTCTGTTAGTTAAGGTGATTGTTGTGCAAGAGCTCCACATTCCTGGTTGTTGTCCCATGGAATACTAATGTCCTTGCGAAATTGATGTTGATCTGTGTTGTTGTGTCGGCTTCTGTGAAAGAGTGCGCACACGCACAGACCGACATGTGAGGTGTGAGTGTTTAGTGGGAATGGTGAGTTGTGAGTGGGTGAGATGTGTGATTGTGGTTGATGAGTAAGTTGTTTGATGGTGTTGTGTTGGTAGTCTGTTTGTGGATTGTGTAATGTAATGTTGTGTGTGTGTGATGTGGTGAGTAGTGAGGTTCGTATGATGTTGCCACTGGTTGGATGTGCGTGTATTTGATGAGGGAGACAGAATAATGGTTTATTAATTTTGCAGTGCAGTTAGCGTTTTGAGAATGACGTGGTGTTGGGTTTGTGTATTTGTGTGTGTGTGTGTGTAAAAGTCGGTGGATGTTTGCTTCGTGTGTTGTTAGCTGGCAATTCAGTTGTTGGATTGTCGTGTTAGAAATGGTGTAGTGTTGGCGAGTTTGTGTGTGTAGGGAGACTGTTAAGAGAGTGTCTCGAGTAGTTCTTGATTTTATTGAATTGAAAATGACCTGTGTTGTGGTAGATAGTTGGCGTTAGTGGAGAGAGACTTCTCGCTGTATTGAAATGTCGAATAAATGTATGAGAAGTTGATTGATTCTGGATGGTGACGATTATGTCCAATTTATCGATTTCCGTCATATTTCACAGATTATTCAAAATCCGCTTGACAGTGGCTGTTACGTTGAATTGGTGGTTTGCCCTACTTATATTGATGACTGAACTGAGTGATATTCGCTGGAACACATTTTTTAGGTCTTACCATCCAATGTAGGTCGATTGGAGAACGGTAAGACTAAATGCAGCATGTTAAGCTCTAAGGGCGGAGTTGTGCAGTTGCTATAGCGTGGTGTTGCTGCAATCAGGTTTTTCCTTCGGACATCCAGCATCTCCAGCGATGCTGCCTTCTCACGACGGAAGGAAGGGCAGCTAACATGTTAAAATCTTTCCTTAAAAAGGCCGTTCACAACCAAGCAGTTCTCCCTCTCGTTCTGAGGTCATGATTTAAGGTCGCTACGACCAACGCCAGTACATCTTCCTTTTCAGGTTTATCAGGAATTACTTTTCCACGGTGTGCTCAGCCGTGAAGTGACTAATGCTCCCACACCTCTAACAACACGTGCTCAACTCGCTCAGGATCAAATCCTTTCCTCGCCTCTTAATAACTTATCTCCACGACTAACTCCCATTTATCTTTATCACTTCGCACTGCTAATACTAACGGTCTGAGTACATGAAATTTTATTCTTGGTTTCCTGAAACTACATGTTAAAGCTTTTAAGGTTCGAACCTTGTGCCAAGTAGGACAACAGAGTTCCTAAACAATAATTCTAGAATCTCCGTCTATTGATGTATGTTGCGTCTCCGAAACGCGCACGCAGGTTCCAAGTATAGTCATTCATTTGATATCAAGATGTCTGGAAGCCCTGATACTGTTTACCGTGGCCTCGCTGTTGTAGGTATAACATTGCATTCTAAAGCAGAACTAGCACTCTTAGACTGGATTCCAATAGATTGTCACTTGTGCGCTTTCTAACTAGACGGAACACTAACGACTCAGATAGGAACACTCGCTCTTGCCTCTTTGTTGTCTCTCCCTACACTTCCATCGACTGCAGCTGAGATGAGGTAGGCGATGAATTTCATGGAAAGTTTTCTTATCTTCTTCAAAAAGCTAAGCTCCTTTATGTATTAATAGTGACTGGTGATTTTAATGCTCAAATAGGTGTAGATTAAGGGAAACTGAGAGATGCCCTAGGTGGGTCTTATTTCACCACGGTTCACTGTACAGATAACGGCACTCCCAAAAATCGACTAATATTGGACCCAACTAGACCATATTACTATCAGCCACGGGTGAAGAGACTCGATAGAAGACTGCCGCTCATTTTGGAGCACATGTTTAATTTCAGATCATGCTCTAGTATGATCGCGTTTTTGTCTGCGTCATATTGGACGTAGAAAAGACACAACAAGAAAACCCCTTAGGATTCTACTTATCGATGAAAAATGCCGAGAGAATATTTTGAGAGCAACTAGAAAAACAGTTAAACAGTCATCTAAGTGATGCTCACCCCAAGGCAGCTTAGAATGATATCCAGATTCATCCATTTTTTGTTCTCTCTCCAATTACGATCTTCCGAATTTCTCATGACTTTTTTTTATCGCTTTTTCAATTTATTTCGCTGGAATATACTTCTCGATTAATATCTTCGATCCCTAATCTTCTCTATTACTACTAATATCTCTAATACTATGGAATTTGAGTTGACAATTCTATCTCTGTATGCTAATGTGGTATGTAAACTTGAACGGGAGTATGTACGTACGTAGTTCTACCTTGTAGCTGACAGACTGACATTCATTTTACAAAACTCTGTGATATGTATATAATCAAACTAAGAATAATTTATCAACAATAAAACATGGGTTTTTTTCATTATAGCGTTATGGAGATTATTGAGTTTCACTGAAATCCTGAATCGATCATTGTCAGATCAGCATTAGAGACCTGATTAGCCTCATGGGGAACTTCTCTGAGTTCTAGTGATAAGCCCTTATTAGTAGAGTTGAACTGTATCGGGTGTAGACAGTTACCTACGGGATAGAATATGGACGTTAACAGCTTTGGAAGCCAGCTCAGTAGTCTAGAGGTTAAGCGAAACCATAGATGAGTCCCAAACTAGGAAAAAAAACGGTCATCTAGTGCTTTCAGGTTTCTAATGGTGGTCTAAACATTATTGATTCATGGTTTCAATGAAAATATAAAAAAAACATCAATAGCGAATAGGTTAAATGAAAGCTTATAATTAAGGTAATATAAAAAGCTACATGATTACCTCCATTCGAATGGTCTTCTAAGTTCTACTACCTCTTGTACTCGTTCACTCTTGTCTGACACATAAACCAAGTGTTGTTTTCCTTGTATTTCTATGGCGCACAACGAATCATAAAACTGTACAGACAAAGTAACAATGTATTTTCATTTATCGTTTCTTGTTCAATCAGATAATTTGTTTAAATCATTCAGCCATGTTGTATGCATGCTTTCAACTTTTATAATTTAGCATTACATTTTCGATTCGCATATCTAGAATAATTTGTTCTACGTACGTGTAAATATAATAATAACTAATAAATATCAAATTATATTTTTAATTAATAAGTTTTATCCTATGTTTCAAATGTATTCTCATTTTGAGGCAAATAGTGGTCGTGATACAAATGGTTGTCAATTCTTCATTACTTGTGCTCCATGTGATTTTCTTGATGGAAAACATGTAGTTTTTGGTAAGTTTAACTGTGGTTCATCAATTTTTTCCTAAGAAATATTTTCAATTTTATAATATGTTAACAACCAGCTAAGACTTTAAGTCTGCCTCGAAGAGCTTTGTTTTGTGTAGTGTAGGAGTAGGTTGGAACAAAGTTAGGGGCGGCCAAACCAAAACATGGCATAACTCCATGAAATCATTGACGAGTGGACTTAGCCATGTCGGTAATTGTCGACTACCTGGTTGGGGTCCGCGAGATGATAATAATCGGTGGTTAAAGACCTTAAATGACATGGCTCAAAATCGTTCGCAATGGCGCCGGTGCATTTATTCTTTGTGTTCTCTCGAATGCTAATCTTCTGGATTATTCAACACCTCTAGTTTTGAATTTCTAAACTTATCTCACTGAATCATACTTCTTGAATAATATCTTCTAATCCTAACCTCTCTGATTACTTCTAATACCTTTACTACCTCTTCTACTATTTGATTTGAATTGACAATGGAGTCTCTGTACTGATATGGTATGACAACATGAACTGATGTACTTACGTACAAAGTTCTACGTTGCATCTGACTGACTGTAGACTTTAAGGGTGCAGAAGTATTCACACCTAGTGAGCTACTTATTTTTTGTTCAAAATATGTACGTTTCAATTCACGAATACTGATAAGTTCGTCACTTAGTATGCTTGAGGCTATTACGAGTTTACCTTAGTCGATAAACGCGAACGAGACTTTTACCAGCTTCCAGGGAGGCTACCTTGAATACCCAAAATCGAATAGAAGGCTTTGTAAGCGTAGAAAGTATATTCTACAAACACCCAGCAATCACAGTACAATCAAGCATACAACTCTCGTTTATTTATACAACATAAGAACGTCCTTGAGACAGTTAAGAAAATAGCATACTAAAATACACTGCAGCCAATCACAGCCATTGATTTTGCTGGTGGGAATTGAAATCTCAAGGTCATCTGATCAGCCCATGCTGGCGAAACGTGAAAACCAAAATACGGCATTATCAAGCGAATTTTGGGGATCTAACATCCCCAACACTCCTCCCCTTTTTAATAGCTTGTTCTCCTGGGGTCGACTTGCATCTTGACTATTGTTCGCCGCTGTCTGAGGGGATACCTTCGGGAACGAAGAACAGCTTGCTGCTGAGTTTCTTCTCGTGGCGGGGCTCTCGGTAGGTTGAAGGTATCAAGCAAGATGTCAAGGGGAAGGCTTTCTACTCATGATGGGCGATCTGGGGCTAGCCGTCTGCGTATCTGATTGCGATGACGTGACCATTTATCACCTCCTACCTCTACTTCGTACATAACTCGACCAACCCTTCTGACCACTCTCGCTTCTACTCAAGGACCATGGTTCGTTCTGTAGTCGCGGGCAAACACCGGGCATCCTACTTCGTAAGCGGATTGTCTTTGCTGCTTTGTCTCTACTGATGAGGGTGCATTAGTCGGATGCATCAGGCTGTGGATCGTTTTCAATCTTCTCCCCATCAGGATTTCAGCTGGTTTTTTTTTTTTTTTTTTTTTTTTTTTTTTTTTTTTTTTTTTTTTTTTTTTTTTTTTTTTTTTTTTTTTTTTTTGCGTCCCCTCCCCTTTTGACTTAAGTAGTGCTCTTTTAAACGTATCCACAAACCTTTCCGCCTGCCCATTCGACTGAGGGTGGTATGGTGGCGAGCGTAAGTGTTTAATGGCTAGCCGTTGACAGAAATTCTGGAATTGGGAAGAGGTGAATCGAGAGCCATTGTCGGAGACGATCACATCTGGTATGCCGTTTCTTGAGAAAATTTCAGAAAGGAGCTGTATAGTCTTAGTTGTAGTGGGCGGCATAACGGGGCTGATTTCCGGCCATTTAGAAAAGGCGTCGACCACAATAAAATACATAGTTCCATTTATTGGGCCAGCGAAGTCGATATGTATCCTGGACCAAGGATGCTCAGGTTTGGGCCATGAAGCCGGCGGAATTTTGGCATTCATCTTTGCCGCCTGCTGACACCTCATGCATTTTTCAACCAACGCTGTGACATGTTGATCCATGTGAGGCCAGTATGCATAACTCCTGACTATGGACTTCATTCGTTTAATCCCAGGATGACCAAGATGGAACTGTCTCAGCACTTTTGCACGAAGGGATTCTGGCACCACTACTCTTTCACCAAACATCAGACAATCGTTGACGATGCATAGTGACTCCCGCCGCTGATACAGTTGCTTCATGTCACCTTCAAACTTTTTCGACGGCCAACCGTTAGTGACATATTTCATCGTCATCTTGATGATGAGGTCGTTTCTAGAAGCATTCTGTATGTCTGTTGCAGACACCGGTAATGCGCGAACTGCGGTTGTCAGATAACATTCTGCGTGGTCTTCTACTGACAGAGATGCGATCACCATGTTTTCCTCAGCCGCCACTTGATCATTAATGAGTCGTGACAAAGCGTCTGCTTGACCGAATTGTAGAGTACGTCGATATTGGATTTCGAAAACATACCCCAGAAGTACCAAGGCCCATCGCTGAAGACGATTTGCAGAATGGGCTGGAATGCCAGACTTTGAACCAAATATTGCTAACAGAGGCTTGTGATCTGTGAGGAGCGTGAATCTCCGACCGTACAGAAACTTATGGAAACGGCGAACAGCAAACACAAGGGCAAGAGCTTTTTTCTCTATCTGGCTATACTTCTTTTCTGCTGGGGTCAGTGTACGGGATGCATGCATAACGGCTTTTTCCGACGCGTCTGGAAATTGATGTGAAATAACAGCACCTAGGCCATATGCTGAAGCGTCTGCTGCTACGATGATCGGCATGGATGGATCGTAGTGTGTTAATAACAATTCCGAGCTAATTATAGACTTGAGTTTACCAAAAGCCGCGTCACACTCTTTAGTCCAGTTCCATGTGCTATGCTTCTGCAGTAGACAATTCAATGGAGCGCGAATATCATGCATCGAGGGAACAAAAGCTGAATAATAACTGATCAAACCGAGAAAAGATCGTAATTCGGAAACATTAGTGGGAGTGGGCATCAGTTTGATAGCTCGGATGTTTTCAGGATCCGGTCTGCGACCGTCGGCATCAAAGATGAATCCCAAATACTTTACCGACTGCAATAGAAACTGGCATTTTTCTGGGCGTAACCGGAAACCATTGTCACTGATGCGTTGTAGTACCAATGTCGTGCGTTCCCGTAGCTGTTCTAACGTCTTCGCAACAATCAAGATATCATCGAGATAAGCTGCAACCCCTGAGATATCTGACAGGATAGTATCCATTAGTTGTTGGAAGATAGATGGGGCAGTCTTAACTCCAAAAGGTAGACGGTTATACTGGAACAAACCACGATGAGTGTTGATAGTAAGCAGCTCTTTAGATGCTTCATCGACTTCCACTTGCAAATAAGCATCAGCTAGGTCAAGCTTTGCGAAGAACTTTCCTCCATTCAGCATAGTGAACAGATCTGCTGGGACTGGCAGAGGATAATGATGCTGTTCTAGAGCTGCGTTGAGACCTGTAGAGAAGTCAGCACATATACGTATCGTGCCGTTGGCCTTCTTGATAACGACTATAGGTGCTGCCCAACTGGAGTAAGAAACGGGAGTAATAACTCCTTGTCGTTGAAGGCGATCCAGCTCTTCATCTACTGTTGCTAATGTAGCATACGGTACCGGTCTCTTTGGACGAAAAGCAGGCTTAGCCCCATGTTTCAACCGAAGTGTTGCTTTCATAGCAGTGCACCGACCTAATCCAGGTTCAAAAATGGTTGAAAACTCTGTCATCAGCTTCTTCGTATACGCTTCTGGGTCATGTCGTTGTGATACCAGGCTGCATATGGTATTTAGCGGGACATCAGCCAATTTTAGCTGGTCGAACCAATCTAAACCAAGTAAATTTAGATCAGCTGGCGTTATATAGCATGCCCCAGTAAACGACGAATCCCGGAAAGCAACTTTACATTCCAATTGTCCTAATAGACGAAGATAATTACCACATGCTGTGCGAGGCTTTTGTGTTGTGTGCTGCAGGCTTGGGCTGCCCAATTTAGTCCAATTTTTGCGTGAGAGGATAGTGACATCAGATGCAGTATCTATTTGCATTCTACACAAATAACCGTTAATATTAAGAGTAATAAATTTCCTCTCACCTGGTGATGAGCTTTGGCAGGAAGATATTAGGCTCAATGCATTGGTACTGGATCTAGGAACAGGCTTCTTAGCACTTCTGGATCGCTTTGGCTTTTTCTGTAGGCAAAAGCCATCTTTATGACCGATGACTTTACACTTCCTGCATCTATGCTGCCTAAATGGGCAGTTCCGTACATAGTGCCATGAACCGCAGTGCCAGCAAGCAGAAGGTGGATTCATTTTGGGTTTTTGGGCAGAATTGGAGCGGGGTGAACTGTGTGTAGCATGGGTAGACTTATAATGATTAGGTGGCTGCTGTACCAAATGAATTTCAGATCGGCATGAACTACCACTCTGCACTATCGTTGAGTCTCGTTGTAAGTTAGTGAGACGTTGGTACTCATGAGCCATATCATTAAGCGTAAGCCTCGGATCTTGCTCCAACCGACTTAGTAGCCTTATTCTAATGTCACTGAACGTACTCGACTGGAGGCTGCAGATGAGAATGAGGGCTTTGAACTGGTCTTCCGACAAGGACTTCAACCGAAAGCGTTCGCATTCACGGTTGACGATGCCCACGTGCGTAAGAAAATCATCATCTTCGTTCATAATAAGCTTCAAACATCGATAACGAGTATTAAATAGTGACGAGTTGTCTCCAAAGTGTTGGCTTAAAGTCTGAACAGTCTCAGAAAACGAACAATCTCGTGGGTTCAAAGGCAGGATCAAATTACAGTACTTATCCAGCTCACTTGCGCCCAACTTTCGAAGTAGCAGCCGAACCTTCCAAGCATCATCTTGGTTGGCGAAATCAAATTTAAATAAATCTTCATAACGCCGGAACCACATGTCAAAAGTGACATTTGCATCAGGATCATAATGAAATTCAGATATGCTATTTGCGATGCCGTCGACCGATGGAGCTGTGGTTGCATTAGATGAGCTGGGCTGCGTGGAAGGGGAAATCTTCATGTCTGTCAACATCTGCATCAGTTTCAGCTGCTGCTCAAGTAGTAATTCAAGTTTGGCAGGATCCATATTTCCAAAAGCACCGTCGCCACTGATAAGTTCGTCACTTAGTATGCTTGAGGCTATTACGAGTTTACCTTAGTCGATAAACGCGAACGAGACTTTTACCAGCTTCCAGGGAGGCTACCTTGAATACCCAAAATCGAATAGAAGGCTTTGTAAGCGTAGAAAGTATATTCTACAAACACCCAGCAATCACAGTACAATCAAGCATACAACTCTCGTTTATTTATACAACATAAGAACGTCCTTGAGACAGTTAAGAAAATAGCATACTAAAATACACTGCAGCCAATCACAGCCATTGATTTTGCTGGTGGGAATTGAAATCTCAAGGTCATCTGATCAGCCCATGCTGGCGAAACGTGAAAACCAAAATACGGCATTATCAAGCGAATTTTGGGGATCTAACATCCCCAACAAATACATTTCTAACTTGTAACTTGCTATGTTCTATGATTGTTGGAGCCTTTTGTATGCATTTCCAAACCACTCACATTGATGTTCCTTTCTCCTGCAGAAAATGACATAACATTTTCAAACAATAGCGTGTGTCTGTCAGTGCCTCTCTCTCATTAGTTGGCTGATGTCTGATTAGTTCAGGGCATAAAATGATGACAGCTTTCATATATCTTCAAAACCTACCAGTTAAGAAATTCGGTATGATTACGTAGGTGGTTCCGTTCCCCCCCCCCCTTCAAAGTATTTGTAAAGCTTGTGTGATAGTGTTTTACTTCAAAAATCCTACATTGTCATAATAATCACTACAGATCATATGCTTTCTACTAGAACGTTTGACACAGACTGCTCAACTGTTTCGTAATTTTCTGTAAAATTCCTCTATCACTGTCTCCTGAATAGAAAACAAAAGATGTGAAGTGTTAAAACAAACTTTACTTTTCGAATTAGTTTAATTATGACAACTTAAAATATTTATAAGTTTGTATGACCCATCGTATTCCACTCAAGTTGTATCGTCTTTTTAAAACTCTCTGAGAAGTTTTTATATCAAATGCTGATTGAATAGTATTTTCGACTTTATCTCCTACCTTCTGCTTTTATTCGTTGTTGAGTAACTAAACAGCTGGCAATAATGAGGATGTATTTTTTCCCCATTGAATTTTCTCCAAATCTTACTACATATAGTAGGAATTCAAGTTATTTGAGAGGGATCACATACTACTCTCTGTAAGTTAGTTAAATGCTGCTGTGGTGCGCGCTACTTATAAGTAGTATATGACGTGAGTGTAAACTTAATGTCTGGCAGCAGAAGATGGGCGGAAGATCAAGAGAAAGGAAGAAGAGCGGGAACACAATGGGATTTGTATGAAATAGCATGAACAACAGTGAAATGTCAGACAATGGATTAGATGTTTTGCAACAGGAACAATCCAGTTCGATATGATGGATTGATATTTTGCAAATTAACCGTTTACGATATGGTTTTCCGATTTTTACCAATTAACTCTGTAATTCGGTTGCTCTCACCTGTGTTCTCTTTCACTACACTGCTTTTTGTTTTTCTAAAATAAACATCAACTCATCTTCCTATCATAATTTTCTTTACTTATCATTCTCAAGGTCGAATTGTTGATGGAATGTTAGTTTTGAAGAAAATTGAAAATGTACCAACTGGTGCTAATAATCGTCCAAAAGTCCCTGTACTAATATCACAATGTGGTGAAATGTAATGCCCAGAAGAAAAAAAAAGAAACAATCCAATCAGAGTAGTAACAATTGGGATTTTTTTTTCTTAACCTTTTAATTCATGATGATTGTGCTACCATTTTTTTTTTGACTTTTTCATCTATCTATATGTGTTGTACAAACTATTATAACATGAATCATTGTTGTTGCTTTCTGTGTATAAATTTCTAATGTTTTCATTCAAAATACAAATGATCATTTTAAACTCAATGTTCAATTGTTTCAATTTTCAATGTTTCATTGTTTTCATACGTGCCTGCGTGTGTGCGTGCGTGCGTGCGTGTATCGCTTGTGATGTTGTTATGTTATTGTTTGACTATATAGTTATTCGTTTGATTTCAACGTGACTGGAAGCCCTGTTACTGCTTCCCGTAGCCTAGCTGTTGTAGGTTGTAACATTGCATTCTAAAACAGAACTAGTACTCTTAGACTGGATTCCAATAGATTGTTACTTGTGCGCTTTCTAACCTAGACGGAACACTAACGATTCAGAAAGATAAAGGTACACTTACCGTTGCTTCTTTTTTGTCTGTGTATACGCTCTCACCGACTGCAGTTGAGATGAGGTAGGAGATGAATTTCATGTAAAGTTTTCTTACTTTTTCAAAAAGCTAAGCTCTTTTATGTAGTAATAGTGACTGGTGATTTTAATTTTCAAACAGGTGTAGATTAAGGGAAACTGAGAGATGCCGTAGGTGGATCTTATGTTATGGCAGTTCATTGAACAGATAATCGGAACCTCCTAAATCGATTAACTAGATCACATTTTTATCAGACACAGATAAAGATTAACTGACACTAACTAGGTGCTATACAGTATCTAACTATGAATTTCGCTGCTCATTTTATTATTAAACAATCTTGACAATGGTAATAAAACTATGTTCCGTCTTTCTTTTTTTTGTGCGATTACATAATAAGTTCTACCTACCATATGTGTTAACATAAATTCATTGATGTTCCATTCATCAGAAGATCAAGAAGTAAACTTTCGAATGTATTATTGAACGAATCAGATACTTTTTTTTCCTGAAATTCGCGGTTAATTATTTCCAAGACTTGGATATGCTGTTTTTACATTTTATGCTATTCTTTAATTAATTTTTCACAATAAACTAACTCTTAAGTAGTGTATAAACAGTTCAATTTGAATTATTAAAAATTATACTGAATAGTGTAAGTTGGACATTTGTGACATCATCATCATAGTGTATATATTCTCGTGCTTTTTTTAAATTCAGTACAATCTAAAGTATTTCAGTACTTGTTTTTAAATGCAGTAGCCTCTGCAGCAGTAAGTCTCAGCATACATAAAGGAAAAAGCGAAATTCTCCGATGCAACACAACATGCACCAACCAAATCACTCTTTGATGGAGATGCCTTGAAGGACGTTAACATCTTTACATATCTTGGCAGCATCATCGACGAGAAAGGTGGATCCGATGCAGATGTGAGGGCGCGGATTGGCAAACCAAGGGTTGCATTTCTACAGTTGAAAAATATCTGGAACTCCAAACAGCTTTCAACCAAAACCAAAATCACGATTTTCAATACAAATGTCAAGACAGTTCTACTGTATGGAGCGGAAACATGGAGAACTGCGAAAGCCATCATCTAGAAGATACAAGTGTTTATGAACAGTTGTCTACGCAAAATACTTCGGATTCGTTGGCCAGACACCATCAGCAACAACGTACTGTGGGATAGAACAAACCAGATTCCAGTGGAGGAGGAAATCAGGAAGAAGCGTTGGAAGTGGATAGGACATACACTACGAAAAGCATCAAACTGAATCAAAAGACAAACCCTCACATGGAACCCTCAAGGCAAAAGGAAAAGAGGAAGGTGAAGGAACACACTACGCCGAGAAATAGAGAAAGATATGAGAGGAATGAACAAACATTGGACAGAACTTGAGAGGGAAGCCCAGGACAGAGTTGGTTGGAGAAAACTGGTTGGTGGGCGGCCTATGCTCGATTGGGAGTAACAGGCGTAAGTAAGTAAGTAAGTACTTGTTTTTAAATAACCAAAGGTCAGAAGTTGAGTAATTCTACTATCTCAACCTACTTGAGGCGATCTAAACATCTTTTCAGTCTCATTGACACATACATAGTGTGTGTGCCTGAAGAGCAACGATTGAGTGTCCTGATCATAAAAATTATTTCGGACTCATGTTTGTGTTTATGATAATAGCTTCATTTTTTAAATTTAATATATTTTCTCTGTTAATCTTATTCATAGGCATCCACTAAAATTATTCACAAACTATCTCCTTCTCGTGTTTTAAGCAGTACTCGTATCTCTGAATTAAATGATTCCACTGTAAGTTATTCATCTAAAGTAGGCAAACCATCACGACATCGATTACGTGTTGTGTTAGACGATGATGATGATGAGGAGGGGGATGGTGTTAGCGATAAAGAAAATGACTATACAGATCTTGTTGACACATCCACTCTAATGCCATCTTCTATTGCTCCAGTTGTATCAACCGAAATTCCACGTGTTGAAGAATCTTCATCATCAGTTGATGATGAGGAGGAGGAAAGACTGTTCAATTATGAATCATCCGAACAGGAATCTAACAGTGATGTTGTTACAGAAGACGAAGCAGAATCTATTATCAATGATGATTCACCTATGCGAAACAACTCTCATCATCGTCAGAAAAATGACCTGAAACGTAACTTTAAACGACGTGCTTATTCACCAAACGAAAATCATGAAGTCTCCAAAGATTATGAATCTAATAATCCACATGAACTGCCATCTGTTGCAGATGATGGTAAGTGAATCAATTTAAGCTTAGCTTAGATATTTAACTTTACATAAATTAATTCATCATCAGTGTAACTCACCTACTAACTCAGTCGTAATCAATGTACAACTTGAAATAATAATGTGTATACAGTTCAAGTTACCACATTGTATCAGCGCAGCAAGATGAATAATAAAGTGGTAGAAGTAACAGTAATTATTATCAATGATAATAGGAGTTTGTTTGCAGAGGAGTCTGAAAATTTACAGCAAAAATTGATTTTGAAGTTCAGGAAGATAAATAGTGAATGTTTTTACACTATTACAACCAAGTAGACATTTTATTATACACCGAGCTGTTAACTAAATTTAATTTAATTTGAAATGGTTTCTAATTATTCCGTTGTTGTTATTTGTTCTAAAATGTACATTCTATGCAGACTATCTGGACATTGAATATACATAGAATGTGGCTAGCAGTGGGATAACAGATTTTAAACATCGACTCTGAGATGTTGATACATCCGGCTGATGAGTGCCAAATGGGACGAAACGCGTGTCCTGAATTCCACTGCTGACCACATATTATCTATTTTAGCCTAATTGTTTTTGTGGTTAGTGTTATCAATACTGTATATTTTCTAAAATCGAATTAGTTTGAGCAGATCGCTTTGAACCTGTGATCTATTTGTTTGACAACCAAATACTTCAAACATTAGACTACCACTCCAGTTTTACACGTGTTCCCATCACATAACATGTCATAACAGTAGATTCTTAAGTTTGTTTTATTTAGCTTAGCATCAAATTTTATTTTAACAAGCCTTAGTCAATCATGATAAACACGTAGAACTGATTACATGTGTGATTTGATTCAGGTTTCTCCATCACATCAACACAGTGAGATCAAATCATCTGTCAAATTATTGGAAAGCGAAAAACTGCTTCTAGAGGTTTCGAGACTCAGGATCTTAAGCTGTACTCCTCATTGTCTCTACTAATTGGTTACGATAATCGCACCGACCACAGCTAAGTGATCTGTACCTACCAATATGACTCAATCCAACTGTGAATAACCCCATAGACTGATGTCATACTTTGACTTGGCATCTTCCAACATTCCGCCTGTTTACTTCTACACTAGACAACACCAACCAACTACGTTCGTACGTAATACGTATCGTAAGCATCTCAATCGATAAAGATTCGCTATGTAAGTAACCTTTGTGAATTTCACGTAACAGATTACTTTGAAACGTAAAGAGATTATGAATATTTTGACTTTTCAGTTTTTATTTTTTTTACCAATTCTTTTTTTGTATTCAGATGCAGTGGACATGGATGTATTGGAGAAATTACGTAAGATTTCTAAAGGAGCAGCGAAACGTGTTGTCAAGAATCCTCGTCCTAAACTTGATCCTCAAAGGTGATAATTATATTTTGTCAATATTCCTGTATTACTTATTCTTTATAGTTTCGTCCTGGTATAGGACTCATCAGCAGTGCGCATCCACGACTCTTGCACGTCGCAGGGTTCGAACCCAGAACCTTCGGTCTTGCGCGCTAACGCCTAACCTCTGAACCAAGTGGGTCGGCATCCAACAATGTTAATGTCTAACTCTGATTGAAAGCATTGTTCTTTTTTTAAATGTTTCACTCATCTATGCTGCAGTTATTATTATATTTCTTTTTCATTTCATTTCGTTAGATTATTGAGTAATAAAGGTTTGCCAGCTTTATTGGAAGATTTCAAAAAGGTGAAATTTCGTGGTAAGGGCTATGAGGTAGGTAGGTAGGTAGATAGATAGGTGTATAGTAGCTATTTATCATTTTCATAAATATATTAATGAATGAATTTAGTAGAGATTGGAATAATTTGTTTGATGGCATTTACCACAGTTTGATTCAAACTGACATTTTGTAGTGAAGGAGAATACAGGTTAGGGCAACCGAATTGTATTCAGCGAAAATTACAGATTTACTCAGTAAAATAGGAAAACCATATCGTAAACGGTTAATTTGCAAATCTTCAATCCATCATCAATCCATTGTCTGACATTTCACTATTCATGCATTTCATACAAATTCCATTGTGTTTCCACTCTTCTTCCTTTCTCTTGATCTTCCCCCATCTTCTGCTGCCAGACATTACGTTTACACTCACGTCATATACTACTTAAAAGTAGCGCGCACTACAATTTCATTGAAAATAAGAGAACAATAGAGATTTGTTTCATTCTAGAACAGGACTACTCAACCGTTGTGTTCACTCAGGTGTTTAGTAGTATTCAAGTGTTTTCCGTGAATCCTAATATCTTTGGTCTGGTTGTGAATGTTAACTGCTGAATAATCCTATACACTATGTGATATGCTTGAATGCTATTACGAGTTTACCTTACTCGGTAATGGAGAGCGAAGAAAATGATGTGGTGACACGATAGTCTATTGTGATTCTGTAGTGAATGAGAACACAGGTGGGGCAACCGAAATGTATTTAACCAAAATTACAGAGTTACTCAGTAAAATCGGAACACCATATCGTAAATCGTTCATTTGTAAAAGATCAGTTCATCCTATGGAACTGGACTGTTCCTGTTGCCAAACATCAATCCATTGTCACTATTCATACGTTTCATACAAATTCCATTGTTTCTAACTCTTCCTTTCTTGATCTTCCCCCCATATTATGCTACCAGACTTTACGTTGACACTCACGTTATATACTACTTATAAGTAGTTCGCACCACAGCACCACAATTCGATTGTCCTTGGTCCTGCTAACTATAGCAAGAAGTTTTGATAATGCGTAGAGAATGTATTCTACAAACACCCAAAATAAGTACGAGGTCGACAAGCTAACAAATCGGGCTTATTTATGCATGATAGAAACGTCCTTGGTAGAACCACAACCATCAACCAATGACAATTAAGGATTTTCCTAGTGGAAAATGTTAGCTGAAGGTCAACTAAACAACTTATGCGCGAAAACATGAAAAAAAAATCCGAAATTAAGACCTTTTACAAATGAGTTCTAAGAATCTAACGTCCCCCAAAACTATGATAAGTTAGTTATTCGTTACTCTCTGTTTTTAAATAAAATATCAATTCATGATAAATGTAACCTACGAAATTTCATGTCTAGATGTATCAATCATTAAAGCGGAAAATGTTTTCTTTCAGTAAACTTAATTTTTCGGCTAAATAGGCTAAAAAAAAGTGTAAATATCTCTAATAGTAGTATGATACTGTTTTAATCAACGTAGAGTTTGGTTTAAATATGCATTGGCCGTAGTTTTCAAACCCCATAGTACAGCAAAAATAGAAATTGACACGACAAACATTGTAAAGAGTTGAAATCATATTCGTATCAAGAAAAAAATCTTTTTTTTAAAAAGGATCAAACACAAAGTATGTTACATTACGGGGTTGTGAAGATTGTTAAGTTACACATTTCTAATGGTGGTCTAACATTGATTGATTCATGGTTTCAGAAAATGTGTAACTTAACAATCTTCACAACCCCGTAATGCAAATTACCTGTGCTCACTAATGACTAGATTCGTGAGGAATCTTCTCCGAGTTCAGGAGGGAAGACGTGACCAGTGAAGTTCAACCTGTTGGGGTGTAGGCAGTGTCTACCGAAGACTGTGTATGAGGTTGCGCAACCCCGTGAATTGATCAAGTTTGACATTAACACCGTTGGATACCGGCTCAGTGGTCTAACGAGGTAAGGATGGCAGATCAATAGATGAAGTGGTGAAACTTCATCAGTTGAGGTGGTTGGGACATGTGTTGCGTATGCCTAACCACCGGCTGACTCGACGAGCTATGTTTTGTAGTGTAGGAGTAGGTTGGAAGAAAGTTAGGGGCGGCCAGACCAAAACATGGCAGAAATGCATGAAGTGACTGACAAGTGTGTAGTGAATGATGTTGGTAGATGTAGGCTACCTGGTTGGGGTCCGCGAGACGAAAGTCATCAATGGTTAGAGACCTTGAACGACATGGCTCAAAATGGTTTGCGATGGCGCAGGTGCATCCACTCTTTGAGCTCTCTCAAATCCTAATCTTCTGGATTCGTCAGCACCTCTACCTTTGTCTTTCTAACCTTATCTCACTGAATCATATTTCTTGAATAATATCTTCGAACCCTAGTCTTCTTTATTAACATTAATACCTCTACTATCTTTATCACTATGGGATTTGACATTTGCGTCTCTGTGCTAATGGTGGTATGGCAACATGAACTTATGTACATACGTACGAAGTTCTACGTTGCAACTGACTGACTGACTGACAGTGGTCTAACGGTTAGGGCGTTCGCGCACAATAACGAAGGTCCTGGGTTGGAATCATGAGGGGTGCAGGAGTCGTGGATGCGCACTGCTGAGGAGTCCCATACCAGGACGAAACGGCCCTCCAGTGCTTTCAGGTTTCTAATGGTGGTCTAACATTGATCGACTCATGGTTTCAAAAATGTATAAAGTATGTTGTTCAAATAGATGAATTAGCGAAACAAAAAATAATCTCAAGTACTATATTTCAAAGAGGTTTTTTTTGCCGAAAGAATACATCTGTATTATTACATTGTTATAAATTAAGCCGTTTCAATATATATATATATATATATAAACTGAGTTTTTTCAATAGCTAAATTGTCAATTTTAGTCGACTTCAGAATATTTACGTCAAGTATAGAATGCTGTATGGCTATTAGTGAAGGTATCTTGTGTTGTGATATTAGTCTAATTTGTACATAAAATTCATCACACATTGAATTCAGTTGAGATATTGTTGAACACCATATTGTTCGAAATTTTTCAACATACTGCAGACACCTAGTTGTCAAATGATTCAGCTCTCTCGTCATAAGCTGCTCAGATCATGGTTTTGTTTTCTATATTAGCCGTTGTTGGTTTAAATAGGAAATGTTCTGTTTTTTTGTGTAGAAAATAAAAACACAACTTCAATGCAATAATTTGATATAACTATATTGTTTCTCTGTTATTACAATCGTTACAGTTACAAATTTTCGTTGATAGTTAATTGTGTATATTCAGCGACAGTCATTTTTAGAGAAAATTTGAATTCAGGTGCCTGGCTTTATAATACTGTTAAGAAATTATTTCGTCATGTTTTCATTGTTTGATTATAGAGTCATAGAGATTGTTGTTTGTTACTGGAATCATGAATCAGTTATTGTTAGACTACTACTATTAGGAACCTGGAAGCACTGGGTAGCCGTTTCATCCTGGTACGGCACTCATCAGCAGTGCGCATCCACAACTCCCGCTACTCGTAGGATTCGAACCCAGGACTTTCGGTCTTGTTCTCTAACGCCTAATCTCTAGACCACTGATCCGGCATCTAATGGTGTTAATGTCTAGTATTGGTCAATCTAAGGATACGGCGCAACCTCACCCGTTTGTCTTCGTTAGTTACTGATTACACCCGACTGAGGGTTTATTTTTAGTAAAAACTGTTAAAAATTGTTAAGAAATATAAAAAATAGTGTTTGATAGGCAAAACATTTTGTACATGCAACGTTTGTGTGTGTGGCTTTTGCCAAACTGCGTCACTTATGGCGTAGACGAGATATCCGTTTGCTGACTAAAGGACGAGTGTACTGTGCAGTGATTCGCTCCGTGTTACTTTATGGCTGTGAAACATGGCCAATGAGAGTAGAAGATATTCGTAGGTTATTGGTTTTCGATCATAGGTCTCTTCGAAGCATTGCTCGTATATCGTGGGACACCCGAGTGAGCAACGCTGTTATTAGGAATCGGGTGCTAGTTAAGAATGGAAGATCAATAGATGAAATAATGAAACTTCATCAGTTGAGTTGGTTGGGACATGTGTTGCGTATGCCTAACCACCGGCTGACCCGACGAGCTATATTTTGTAGTGTAGGTAGAAGGTTGGAAGAAAGTTAGGGGCGGCCAGACCAAAACATGGCATAAATCCATGAAGTCATTGACAAGTGGACTGAGTCATGTCGGTAGTTGTCGACTACCTGGTTGGGGTCGGCGAGATGATAATAATCGATGGTTAGAGACCTTGAATGACATGGCTCGAAATCGTTCGCAATGGCTCCGGTGCATTTATTCTTTGTGTTCTCTCAAATCCTAATCTTCTGGATTCTTCAACTTTCTAAACTTTTCCCACTGAATCATACTTCTTGAATAATATCTTCTAATTCTAACCTCTCCGATTACTTCTAATACCCTTACCACTTCTTCTACTATTGGATTTGAATTGACAATTACATCTCTGTGCTGATCTGGTATAGCGACATGAAGTGATGTACTTACGTACAAAGTTCTACATTGCATCTGACTGACTGACTGACATGGGGGGGTAGTCATCAAAAGATAAAATTACAATCGATAATAGTGAGAAATTATCTACATGGATTGATACATTTTTTCTCATAATTTCTCTTGTTATGTGTATTTTTTTTCCCTGATAACTTTTTCAAATTGTTATATTCATTCTTTCTATATGTATTATGTTTGTTTTTTTCAAGTTTCAAGATTTGAATAGATTGTTATTTGTTTATGAAGCATGGAGTAATCGTTTAGTACCTAGAATGAGTTTTGATGAAGTTATAGATCGTTTAGAAAATGTTGGCAGTAAACGTGAAATACGTGTTGCTTTACATCGACTCCGTAATGGTATTTGGCCACCATATGCAAGTGAAGAACAAATAGTACCATCTGATAATGAAAGTACATCAGAACAAGAAGATCCAGAATTAATGTGGAAAAAAGCTTTAGAATCTGTTCCAAAGGTAAAAGAACAAGATAATAGATTTATATTTATGTAGCTTATTTCACGATATTAGTGAAGATGAAGTGAATTTTTGGTGATTGATGTAGTTGGGACGTATCGCATATACCAAACCCATCATCTACCTCGATTCGTGATTTTTTGCCCCACTGACTAATATGACTTAGCTCATTTGTCATTGACTTCATGGATTTATGGATTGTTTTGGTTTGGCCACCCCTAGCTTCCTTCCAGCCTACCTCATAATCTCTCGCCGAAGCAGTCTGTTACTGAGCATACGTAACACATGTCCCAAACCACACCAACTGATGAAGACTCACTAATTCACTGCTAGTAATCTTTCTCTAATAACAACGCTGTGGTCCTTGAATATACAAGCAATGCTTTAGAGACACTTATGACCGAAAACTAGTAATCTTCAAACATCTTCTACTCTGAATGTTACGCTCGTCTCTAGGTATGCTTAAACTATTACGAGTTCACCTTAGTCGAATAACGAGAACAAAACAATGAACCAGAGTCCAGGTAGGCAGTAAGAAGTCTTGATATAGTGTAGAAATTGTATTCTACAACACCCAGCCAGCACTCAATGAATCCAAGCACTCAAATTGCGTTTATTTATACTCTATAGAGACATCCTTGGGACAGTCACTAAAATGACACAACCAAGGACTATCCTGGTGGGAAATGTGTCTTCAATGTCAACTGATCGGTCCATGAAATAAATCCAAAATAAAGATATTTATCAAGCGAATTCTGGGGATCTAACATCCCCAACAGACTGGCCATGTTTCGCAGCCATGAAGTAGGACGGAGCGAACTGCTGCGCAGTAGTAGTGGTTAGTAGACGGATATCTCGCAAGTTAGCAAAAGCCAGTCGATCCTTCTGTATCCGTGCAGAGATTTCTTCAGACACCAAGACATCAGCATTGATGAGACTCCTGAGATAAGTGAAGCGGTCAACACGTTGAACTGCTTCACTCCCTATCACTAGTTTAGGTGCTAACGCAAGCCAATCCTGGAGCAACATATTACATTTCGACGAGGAGAATCGCATTCCGAACATGCTTGCATTGTTGCTTAGGCTAATCAGAAGACTGCATTTTGTCAGCGTCTCCGCTAAATAAAACTGTGCCGTTGACATATTCTAAGTCAACAAGTGAATCTCCCAGTAAAAGTTCAACTCCTAGAAGTATATATTCCTAATGAGCCACAGAATATCACAGAAGTTAGAATCTGGCCGAAGACTGCAAAAATACTAATATTTGAGACTCTACTGATAAAAATGCTGAGTCTTCTGATCACCCTAAGCAACAATACAAATATATTCGAGATGTGATGCAAGCATAAATCTTTCTGCAGAATTGATATTCATTAAATTGAGGCTGAGTACTTAGATATCCATATTACTCATTAGTTTTTTTTTAATAAAAATGTTAAAAAGTGACAACTATTCATGTCTTTCTTTTCTCTAGTTATGTATTAATTATCCTCTTAATTGATTACTATCTCTTTTATTATTTCTCTTTTGCGCATTGAATTCGTTTGATTTTATCTTGAAGGACAATAATCATAATAATAATAATAATAATAATAATAATAATAATAATAATAATAATAATGATAATAATAATAATCATAATAATAATAACCAAAAACTTGAACAAAATCGTACAGATTCATTTTATTCCATAGGATTGAAACTTCATCACTTGAGATGGTTGAGACGTGTGTTGCGTATGTTTAACCACCGACTGCCTTGTCAAGTTATGAATTGTGGTGTCGGAATAGGTTGGAAGAAAGATAGGGGCGGCTAGACCAAATCGATGAAGTCACTGACAAAGTGGACTAACTCATGTCTGTAGGTGTCGACTACCTTGTTGAGGTCCGCGAGATGTTAGTAATCGATGGTTAGAGACCCTGAATGACATGGCTCGAACCGATTGCAATGGCGCAGGTGCATTTATTCTTCGTGTACTCTCAAATCCTAAACTTTTTAATTCCTTATCACTTCATTTTTCTCGTCTTAAGTTTATTTCACTAGATTCTACTTCTTGAATAATATCTTCTAACCCCAGTCTCTCCGATTATTGCTAATACCTTTACTACCTCTACTTCTATTGGATTTGAATTGACAATTACATCTCTGTGGTGATGTGGTATGACAACATGAACTGATGTACGTACGTACATACGAAGTTCTACGTTGCTACTGACTGACTGACTGATTATTTCTCTTTGTATGTTATGCATGGCTTAACTAAAAAACTTCTGAAGAACTAAATTTTTCACTATTTTTACCCACACAATATTGTTTTTCTGCACTCTAAAATATTTATAACTAGACTATAGGGAACTGTTATAATGCTGCTATGTAGGTAGCTATTCGAAATCCTACCGATTGACCAAATTGAGATATTTCACTACGACCCTCAAATACTGTTCCCAAATCTCCAACACAACACCATTAGATGAAGTTGTTTATGAGGTCGAGTACAGAAGAAGTAAAGGAAGGAAGGAAGGAATAATAAGCATTACAGATAATGCATATTTGTACAATTACATCGAATAAGAAACAACATAGAAGTCTGTGATATTGATAGTTAAGACGACCAGTAGGAAACAACATTTGAGGTGACATTGATAGTTGGACGACTAATGGCGAACAATATTGAAGTATGTGACATTGATAGTTAGGACGATCATATTATTGACCAATAGGAATCGACCAATAGAATTTACACTTACAAAATGATTCTTCTTTGGATATTTGATGAATATCTTACCATAAACTATAAAGTTAGCACTTCGCACTAGTGGTAAATCAGTTTATGAATTTCATGTTAACTTGGTGTCAGCAGACCAGTGAATTTTTATCACTGTGATTCGTTTGCATTGAACTTAGTTTGTTAGAATATAATAACTAACCTGTTCAAGCTGTTTTCTGATTTACGGGGACTAGTTGTGAGCGCTGTACAGTGTTGAAACAAGATCATTAATATAAAGTGCTGGGAGAGATTATCGGACTGACTCCTTCTTCAGGGATATGTAAGTGGCGTGCTTCACTAATTAAGTGATTCGCTCATAATACCCATTCTTACTACGAAATCTTGACGTAGCATGTGATCTGTTTCGTCTTATCAGGCAAATAAACTATGCTTATTTCAATTACTCTGAATGCCAGACAATTATTCACTTACCAATATCAGCGGAAGGTAGTTACGCTGTATCATGAATTGATTGAAATTAGTGATGTAAACCATTAGATACGAACTCAATGAACTAAGGATTAAGTGTTCTGTATGAGATTTACATATTCTGAGTTCGATTGGTTGATAAACACTGTTGAGTAGAACTGTAATGAAGTGAATCAACTTTTCAATGGCTGTTCAACTACGCTCATTTGATGAGTATGTATGTATGTATGGTTAGAGACCTTGAACGTGACATGGCTCAAAATCATTTGTAATGGTGCAGGTGCATTCATCATTCATTGTATTCTCTCATATTCTAACTTCCTGAATTCCTTATCATCTCTTTCTAAAATTATCTCACTGAATTATACTTCTCGAATTATATCTCCGAACACTAATCTTCTCCATTACCGCTAATATATCCGTACTATCGCTACCACTATGGGATTTTAAACTGACAATTGTGTCTGTATGTTGTTGGGGTATGACAACCTACCTCATATACGAAGTTCTACGTTATGTGTGGTCTTAACTATATTGTCTTTCTTTAAAAGTTGTTTCTTCAATTCTAGACAATTTTTCACTATTTTATACAGGATGATACATTAAATTCTACCAAATCTCCATCTAAAAATATACATGAAGATTTTAGACAAGAATGGAATCATATCAATAACACTGAAAATTTAGCTGACAGTGTTAACATACAGTCATCACCACTACCACAAGCATCTACTTCAGTTGATATTGAATCAAGAGCTGAAAGAAATAAACGTTTAGCGTTAGAACGACTTGCAGCACGAAAAAATTCTTCTTCTGGAACATTAAAGATGTGTATGTTGAATTTTTTTTTGATCATTTTGTAAATATAGTTCATGTTGTTAGCTAGTGTTTTATTACTCTATAAAGTTTTTGCACTAAAATTTGTAATTAAGTATTGTAAAAGATTTCATATTTATCTACTGTTCATTGAGATAGTTGAATTATGTTATTGATCGATGTTCTGTGAAATCTTTTATTCAAAGTAAGTTTATATCATATGTGTGGGTATCCTGGGACACCCGAATGAGCAACGCTGTTATTAGGAAACGGGTCCTAGTTAAGAATGGCAGATCAATAGATAAGGTGGTGAAACTTCATCAGTTGAGGTGGTTGGGACATGTGTTACGTATGGCCAACGACCGACTGCCTGGACGCGCTATGTTTTGTGGTGTAGGAGTGGGTTGGAAGAAAGCTAGGGGCGGGCGGCCAAATCAAAACATGGCAGAAATCCATGAAGTCATTGACGAGTGGACTGAGTCATGTCGGTAATTGTCGACTACCTTGTTGGGGTCGGTGAGATGATAATAATCTATGGTTAGGGACCCTGAGTGATATGACTCAAAAGCGTTTTCAATGGCGTAGGTGCATTTATTGTTTGTGTTCTCTCAAATCCTAATCTTCTGGATTCTTCAACAACTCTAGTTTTGACTTTCTAAACTTTTCTCACTGAATCATATTTCTTGAATATCTTCTAATCCTAACCTCTTTGATTACTTCTAATACCTTTACTACCTCTTCTACTATTGGATTTGAATTGACAATTATATCTCTGTGCTGATGTGGTATGGCAACATGAACTGATGTACTTACGTACAAAGTTCTACGTTGCATCTGACTGACTGACTGTGTGTTATGTATGAATAGTATGTGATTGGAAACAGTTGGTAGAAAATCTTGGACCTTCTCGATATGTACTAGCAATATATGACTAAGATTTTTAAGTGTCAGAGTTGCGAATGGATTTTATCTGTAGAACTGAAATATTTACTCTTACTAAACGCCGAATTAGAATTCATATGAGTGCATGAATTTTATATATAGATTGCAGACTCACTATGCTCATGAATATAGGGATTAGCTTAAAAATCAACTGAGATAAAGAGCTTCCTGTTACATGTTTGCAATCTCTCAAAGTGTCTTTTATGAATCAGCATCTCATGGTGTACGCATAACTGTGATCAAATCAACTATGTTCTATCTTCTTGTCAGTCAGTCAGTCAGTCAGCTACAACGTAGAACTTCGTACGTATGTACATAAGTTCAGGTCCCCATACCGCATTACCACAGATACGCAACTGTCAATTCAAATCCCATAGTGGTAGAGATAGTAGGAAGCATTAGCAGTAATCGGAGAGACTGGGGTTAGAAGATATTATTCAAGAAGTATATTTCAGTGAGATAATTTTACAAAGAGAAAGATACAGACAATGACGAATTCAGAAGATTAGAATTTGAGAGAATACAAAGAGTGGATGCGCCTGCGCTATCGCAAACGATTTCGAGCCATGTCGTTCAAGGCCTCTAACCATCGGTTACTTTCGTCTGACGGACCTCAACCAGGTAGCCTACATCTACCAACATCACTCACTACACACTTGTCAGTCACTTCATGCATTTCTGCCATGTTTTGGTTTGGCCACCCCTAGCTTTCTTCCAACCTATTCCTAAACTACAAAACAAAGCTCGTCGAGGCATTCGGTGATTAGGCATACGCAACACATGTCCCAACCACCTCAACTAATCAAGTTTCAATACTTCATCTATTGATCTGCCGTTCGTACCTGGTACTCGTTTCCTAACAACAGCATTGTTTACTCGGTTGTCCCAGGATATACGAGCAATGCTTCGAAGACATCTATGATCGAATACTAATAACCGACGAATATCCTCAACTCTTACTGGTCATGTTTCGCATCCATATAGTAGGATGGAGCGAACTACTGCACAGTACTCTCGTCCTTTGGTCGGTAGAGGGATGATATCTTACCTATGACATAAGTGACGCAAGTTGGCAAAAGCCAATCGAGCCTTCTGTATCCGCTCAAAGATTTCGTGTGCAAAGCGTACCACTAATATTCGTACATGTATTGTAAACAATACCTCCAGTATTTCAAAAAGTTTCCAACACATCACCTTCCATCTACTAAATATCGCCAATAAATAGGTCCATCAAAAAAGACATTCTTTTTTATCAATCATTGTAATTAATTATGAATGAATATTTCGTTCTTAATTCACACAAAACTATTACTGTGTGACCATAAATTTTTGGTTTTTCTGTAATCTTGTCGTTTTTCGTCTTATTAATTTCAAGCAGTTTGATAATTCTATCTTACTAAGTAAATAATGTTAGATTTCTAAAAGCGGGATACGCTAACATGAATTAATTAGTTTATTCACTCTGAAGATTGTGTCATCTTTTCAAGTAGCTTAATTTAAAGCTTACGGGTAGGAAGGACTTGATTTTGACCAATTTGGTCTCGCGTGCTGTTACGGGTATGGGGGAGGTTGTCACTTCCCGGCTGCCCACACCGTGGAAGGTTGTTTCTTGATGGACCTGAAAAGGAAAATAGATTAGTGTTGGTCTTAGAGACCTGGGTGCGTGACCGCAGAGCCCAAGGGACAACTGCTTGAGGCCGGTCACGCACGGCCTTTTTATGAAACGTTTTTTGACGATTAGCTCCGTTCTTAAAGGCCCTTAGTGGGCACCCTTACCCAAGGAAACGGAAATCCGTGAGTTAGGGGAGGTGTGACATTTTTAGGGTCGACCTTTTCTAACCCTTCCTTCCTTGTGAGAAGGCAGCATCGCTGCAGATGCTGGTTGTCCGAGGGAAACATCTTACTGCTGTCACACCCCTCTGCAGTCAGCAGTAAGACTTCGCCCTCAGACCTTTTTGTCTAATCGTTCTCCAATCGACCTGCCTGGCATGGTAGGACCTTCAGGAACATATGTTCCAGCCAGTATAGCTAGGTTGGGTCATGACGATAGGTAAGCCCGACCACCACGTCAAGGTAGCAGCTACGGTCGGGGATTTAAAGCTTTGTTATATATATATTCTTATTATTCACAAATATAGTAAAAAATATTTTCTGGGTTTTTTTCACATAAATTGTCAATTTTTTATTTTCAATACATTGTATCTTTTTCAATGAATGATATAACTTTCACATTGACTGCTAATAAAAACAAACTGAATAGTTATTTTTCTTATAATTTATTTATATTTATTTCAGCTACAAGTCATATATTAAAGAATGCTTTAAAAGCATCAGTTATCAACACTCCTCTATCGAATAATGCTGGTATTACTAAATTATTTCAAAATTCTCTTGTAATGAATGAGAAATTGGATACTTGTGTTTCTGGTGATACACTCTATTCGGAAAATGTTGATACTCCCTTTAGTAATAATAATAATAATAATAATAATAATAATAATGTTACTACTACTGCCTTAACTCTAACACTTGACAACCATGAAACTTCTACTCTATGGGAAGAAGAAACTCCAGCTAGTCCGGACAAATCACAATCAATTTTACATGGAGATATGTCACCAGTTCATGTAGATGAATCAAATCTTATTATTGATCTTAACTAGATGTGTTATTGTATTTAATGTACCATTCCAACAATTTATATTATTTTTGTACAAATATTTATTATCTATTGTTAATTATAGACGTAATTTTCTTCTGAGGTTCAAGCCACTATTTTTCAAGTTACTTTTTTCTACATGAATGGACGGTCTATCTGAGGTTCATCATACTTTATTCCTTATTACTAATATTCAGCCAGTTTCTATATAGTTCTTGCCGTAAGGTATTTAAGCGAAAATTGTAGTTAGACTCAATAAAAGATTGTATTTTCGTGTTGATTTAGTACAACGCTTTGTTTATGAAAACGTATACAACTTTGTAAACACTAATCCATATTTTTTTGTGGAGCGTCGATCAAACGTCTATTTCATTATTCCTATCCTCCTACATTTGAGTTCCGCTCAGAAGTTATTTTCATGTTCTTAGTTTACAGTTTGGTTCTTTAGAACATTTTACTTTCTATTCATTCAGAAGGTAACTCATTTTTGATGAGGCTGGATAAACAAGTAAATCTCTTTAGAATCTTGGATAAGGTTCATTGTTTCTTTAGTTTGTCGTTACTGAAGGTACAGAAGTAGAACGTTGGCGAACCCCTGTCTGATCATTCAAATTAGGACAATAATCTCAATCAAGATTCTGTTCTTCGTACATCGACGATTGTGCTGATGACGATTGGGCGTACCAGTGAACAGGACAATTTTTAAACGAGATTTTAGGCAGTATATACCATATAACATGTGGTATGACAACATGAACTGATGTACTTGCGTACGTAGTTCTACGTTGCATCTGACTGACATGCTTTCCTGGTATTTGGAGGTTGGCACCTGTTGTATATTTCGAAATAGGCACTCGTTGACGACTGATCTGCAATAACTGTATTCTATTACATTTCGTAACCAAATGATAAGTTTTCGTCGTATTTTGTTGTTTTTTATTCACGGCTAGTAATAGTAGAGCGGCGTCAAGTTTCAAGATGGTCTCTATCGATCTGGGCGTTTGTTTTCAACAAAGGTTCTAAATTTGGGAAAAGTTCGAAAAAACTTTGACGAGAGCGCGTACATGTACTCATGATATGCTCGTCAACTGATATGCTTGAATGCTATCACGAGTTCACCTTACTCGGTAAATGGGACGAAGCAATTAATCAGTTACAGAATAGATTATTCTAATGCGTTTGTCCCCGGCCCGGCGTAGAAAGTGTATTCTACAAGCACCGAGTAAATACGAGGTCCACAAACAGACAAATCGAGTTTATTTATACATGATAAAAACGTCTTTGTATGTGCCACAAAATAGCGTACTAGAATAATCCATCAGCCAGTCACAGTCTGGGATTTACCATGTGAGAAATGTATGCTGAAGGTCAACTGAGCAACTTACGCGCGAAAACAGAAAATCTGAAATTAGGACCTTTTCCAAGTGCGTTCTGGAGATCTAACGTTCCCAACAACTCACTAGATCCATCTACGGATTAAAGGAAATCCTTCTGGGCATTGGGAATATATGTTTGTCCATTTTAGATGTAAGTTTGGCGTTTAGGAAGAGCCGTAATTTTTAGGCCTCGCTATTAAACCGTAAGAATGCTTACCTATATGTAACCGTGTTGTTATAATTTTCTTGGTCGTCAGTCAATGCTTAGAGTTACTTAATGTGATAGTGAGTATACGGTAAGATTTCAAAATCATGCGGGTGGTAATTAATAGTTTACTCTCGCAGTCCGCTTTTAACTCGCAAGGTGTAAGTTCATAAGCGTCCCGCCCAGTCCAAGTCCAAAAACGATAATTCTGGGAGAGAACGTTCCAAACAATATTACACCGAGTTTCCAATCACCACAATAGGTTCCGTGCTGGAAGAACAAGTGCTTCTAGTCCATTACTGCTAGATTATCAAATCCAAATATGGCTGTAGCCATATTAAGTATCAAATTTAAACAACATATGTATAGTTCAGAAGGAAACAAAAACTTCGATATAAGCACAAGATATAGAAATAATGACACGATACAAATGATAAAATCTCAAAATGGAGCCAAAGAGAGTACCAAAATATCAAGCAGAAGAGTCAATCATATCATTATATATATATATATATATATATTGAGGGATTTTCCAAAAACAAAACCTTCAAAATATATTCTACAGCGGGTCCTAAAAATTGATTGGTTTGCAACTCGTATCTCATTTTTAACGACCTCACATGTAATTGATTGTCAAGTATCTTACATAATGTCGAACTGATTAGAACGCTATATTGACAATATACGGAAATAATGTCTTTAAATTTAGAAGTTTAGCTTGCTATGCTAGGGTTAACAGGACAGTAATGTCCTGCTTTAGCATAGCAGTCTTTCCTACCTAAATAAGTTGGCGAGTAAAGCACAACATTTCCTTGAATCCCTTAATGTCGCGGATTAATAACTTTTAGCTTCAGCTATATGATCTAAAATAAATTAATAGTCATAGACTTCCAATATCTTTTTCACGAGCTAGTGTAAACCGATTTGATTTCTTCGCGCTCGATCCTTGTTCTTTCGGTACGGTCCCAGGTGTTCGTTAATGTCCAATGGATGGAGGTCTAGCCACTCGACTGTCTAATTCTAGTCAGTTGGTATTTGGTTGTGAGTTTGTATGTCTCGGGATTTAATTAAACGTTTGTTTCAGGGCAGTAGGGTTTCTGGATACTAGCAGCCGTCACATTACCAAACCGGAGATCAGTTAGTTGCAATGTGGAGAGTGATAAGGGTAATAAGGATAAAATTATAATGATAATATGGATAAAATCCCGGAACTGAACTTAGTTTGTTAATTGGTAGTGAGGATTGTGAGAGAGGACCGAAGTGTAAGCAAGGGAGAGGAAACAGAGATAATATGCGAGATAGATTAATTGAGTGATCTGAAGAGATGGCGATGGTAACAACTAGCAGGTCTCGAGATATGCATCATGAACAGCTTGTCCAAGAGGAAGATGATTGTCCGTATGTGAATACGTAATTGTCAAGTCTCTTCTTAAAGCAGTTCACTGAGGGGCTGTAACTACCTCGGCTGGAAGAGCATTCCAAGTTGAAACGACTCGCAATGAGAAAAAGTGTGCACGAATCCGAGTATTTGCTCTTTGATGTGCAATCTTTCGAGGATTGCCTCGAGGGGAGTGGTGGTGATGAATCGGTTAGATGCTCACATTGGGATGGTTTGGCGTGTTTAGTATGGTGTACGCCATAATCAGATCACCTCTGATTCTCCTGTAGCTCAGTGGAAATAATCCCAAGAGCTGGAGTCTATTGTCGTAGGGTTTATTTTTCAAACCTATCACCCATTTGGTTGCTCGTCTCTGCACTCGATCCAAGGGATTTATGTCTCTTTTAAGTAGTGGGGTTGCGATGACGTTGTGAACTTCCAAGTGTGGGCGCGCGTACGTCTTAAACAGGGTTAAAAATAATTTCGGGGTGATAACACCAAGCTGTTTTTGCATAAAGTGAAGAGTCGCATTTGCCTTGGCTGCATCCCCTACATAGTTTGGACTGGTGTGGAGGCTTTCTGTGGTTATTAAACGAAGATCGAGCTCTGACGGGACATTAGGGAGCGGACTTCCATTGAGAGTATAGGTCGTTTGCGTCATATGAGGCAGGAAATGCACGACGTGGCACTTCGGCTGGTTGATTTTTAAACCGTTTTTCACTGCCCATTTTTCAACAGATGTAAGGTCCTTTTGAAGCTCAGTCGAATCCTCTTCGCTTCTAATGGCGTGCGTGGGGCACTGTCTCAAAGGCTTTTGCAAAGTAGAGAAATATTACGTGCACTGGTATTTTACGGTCCAAGCAGCATGTCCAACTGTCCCATGCGATGAGAAGATTAGATGCACACGAACTGCCTTTCCGAAACCCGTGTTGAGCTTCATGGAGTATTTTATTCTTATCCATGTACTCCCTCATTTTTTCGTCCACTAGTCATTCCATAACCTTTGATAATATAGGTAGTAGTGCGACTGGTCTATAACAGGCTGGGTCCTTTCTATCTCCTCCTTTGAAGATTGGAGAGAGAGTAGCTTGTTTCCATTCCGCTGGGAATTGGTGTGACTCCAGTGAATACCTGAACAGGTTGCATAACGGTGAACAGAGGACTTCAGCATATTGTTGCAAGACTAGAGGGCGGATTTTGCCACAACCTGGTGACTTACCTGGGCGCAAGTATTTTAGTTTCCTTAGTACTAAGTCAGGAGTGATACGGATGTTCCCTAAGCCGTCAGCTGGCATTGGGTTGGCGTAGTACTTGGAACATGTAGGCGCCTGGTTTAATTGATCAGAAAAGTTGGGTTCAAGACCTCGTCCATCTTTAGGTTGGTGAGGTCTTCCCCGTTTGGTCCTTTGAGAGAACACAACCCTTGATTAGTAGGTTTTCTTTTGGACATGAACCTAAACAGATGTTTCGGGTTTGCCTCTATTCTGGTGGCTAGCTTCGTCTGGAATTGTCTTCTGTGGCTTCGAACTTTGGTATTGCATCTGTTTCTCAATGCCAAGTAAGAACTGCGATCGGAATCCTTCAAGGAGACCTTCCTCTTCGCCTGCAGCAAGCGTTCGCTGCCGCGCCTAACCCAGGTTCTTCTGTTCTCGCGCTTTTGGTGTGACTGAGTTACGTTGTCTGCGACTGCTTGCCAGTGATCATCTACTGTTAGCCTCCACCACTCCCGTGGCCATGGGGCATGTAGGAGCACCTCTCTCATGCGTGTGTAGTTTGCCCTACTGTAGCAAAGGTGAGGCTCGTTATCATCCGGTGTCAATGTTTTGTTTGTGACCATGTTAAACAGGACTGTGCCATGGTCACTACTAGCTATTGGAGCGCGAACGTGAACATCCTCAACCAGGAGCTGGTCATTCGTTGACAGATAATCTAGGTTTGAGGAGTTCCCTTCTTTAGTCCATCTAGTGGCACTGCGTACGTGCTCAGACAGCCCAGAGCTTATAATGGCTGTACCAAGTTATCTTTGGAACCAATCAGTGGGAGTTATACTCTGATTGCTGAGATTTAAAGATGGGGTACTGAAATCTCCGGCTACGAGTATTTGATCAAAATATCATTTAAAACAATTATGTTCGTATCAGTACATTAGTTACCAATATGTATATCAAGATGCAACTGCCGAATGCTAAACCAT